CATATTTGTCCTTTTGTGACTGAGATATTTCACTCAGCATAATGTCCTCCAGGGTCACCCATTTTGAATAGTATTGCATGAGTTCCTTATTTCTCAGTGCAGCATAGTATTCCATTGTGTGAATATACCACAGCATCTCTATCCATTCATTTGTTTATGGGCACTTAGGTTGTTTCCAACTCCTTGCTATTGTGAACAAAGCTGCTATAAACATGGGTGTGCATATCTCAGCTTGGGTGGCACTTAAGGTCCCTTTGGGGTTCCTATTCCATTCTTATAATTTCTTTTTTTGTTTGTTTGTTTTCCTTGTTGTATACCATCAAATCAGATCCAACTGGCACAGGAGGAAATTACCCCTCCTCCAGCAGAGCATCTGGTGGATTTGAACCATGCTAGAGCCCATTGCTAAAGTTACCATGTCTTTCTATCTCATTGAGTGAGGGTCTTCTCCTTCTTGGAAAGATAGTGTCACCTAGTCCAAGTATGAGATAAAGTGTTGCCATCTTTGCCTCCTGGGAGTCACCCTGTTGTTATGTTGTTGTTATGTGCTGTCAAGTCATTTGCGACTCATAGCGACCCTATGTACAACAGCCCTAAACCATGTTCTATCCTTTGCCATTCTCATTGCCTCTGACACACCCATCCTGATTATCCCAGTCACTGAATCAATCCACCTCATAGAGGGTCTTCCCCTCCTGCGCTGTCCTTCCACTCTACCCAGCATGATGTCCCTCTCCAAAGACCTGTCTCTCCTTGCAACATGCCCAAAATATGTCAGACGAAGCCCCAGAATCTTTGCCTCCAAGGAGTAGCCTGGTTTAACCCTCTCTAGGATGAATCTGTTTGTTTTCTTGGCATTCCATGGTACATTCAATACTCTTCTCCAGCACCACAACTCAAAGGCGTCAATTCTCCTTCTATCCTCCCTAGTCATTGTCCAACTCTCTGATGCATAATAAGTGATTGCAAAAACCATGGCCTGTATCTGGTGCACCATAGTTTCCAGAGAGACACCGTTGCTCTTGAGTACTTTGGAGAGGTCCCTAACCACAGACTTTCCCATCGCAATACGTTTTTTGATTTCCTGGCTACTGGTGCCAAGAGTGTTGACCGTGGAGCCAAGCAAACTGAAGCTGTGAACAATCTCAATCTCTTCACCATCCATCCTGATGCTACCGATTGGTCCAGTGGTGAGAATTTTTGTCTTCTTGACATTGAGCCTCAGTCCATATTGAAGGCTGTAGTCCTTGACCCTCTGCAGTAAGTGCATGAGGTCCTCCTCAGTTTCAGTGAGCAGGGTTGTGTCATCTGCATAACGCAGATTGTTGATAGATCGTCCACCAATTCTAATGCCACGCTTCTCCTCATAGAGCCCAGCCTCTCGGATAATCTGCTCTGCATACAGGTTGAAAAGGTATGGAGATAGGACCCTAGTCCCACTTTTTCCAGGACATATCTATTTATTCTTTTGGCAATCCATGGAGTAGTCACTAGTCTTCTCCACCACAACAGCTCAAAAGCATTGATTCTTCTATCATCTTTATTCATTGTCCAGCTCTCTGGTACATACCAAGTGATTGAGAAGACCATGGCCTGCCTGAATCAGGTGTACCTTAGTCTTTAAACTGATGTCAGTGTTCTTCAGTATTTTGGAGAGATCCCCGACTGGACTTGTCCAAGGCAATATATCTCCTGATTCCTGACTGCTAGGATGTGGATTGTTGATCCAAACAAAATTATATCATTGACAGCTTCAATCCTTTCTCCATCTATCATGATGTTGACTATTGTTCCTGTGGTGAGAACCTTTGTTTTCTTGATGTTGAGATGTAATCCGTATTGAGGACTACAGTCCTTGATCTTCAGAAGCAAGTTCTTCAAGTCTTCCTTACTTTTAACATGAAGATTGTGTCATCTCCATAATATGAGTTGTTGATGAGTCTTCCTCCAATCTTGATGCCATATTCCTCTTCATGGAGTCCAGCTTCACAAATTATTTGCTCAGCATACAGATTGAATGTTTAAGGATAACAGAAGAAGAATCGATGCCTTCAAGTTGTGCTAGAGGGGAGTCTTGAAACATGGACCACCATGAAAATAAATAAGTCTGTCTTGGAGAAGGTGAAACCAAGTTTCTCCTTGGAGGCTAGGATTTTGAAGTCTTACATATTTTGGGCATGTGGCCGGGATAGACCAGTCCTTGTAGAGGGATATCATGCTTGAAAGGGTGGAGGGACAGCACAAGAGAGGAAGGCACTGGATGAGATGGATTGATACAGTAACTGGGGTAATGGAGGTAGGTGTGTCAGAGGCTTTGGACAGGGCAGGCCTCAGAGCTGTTGTACAGTGTCACTATGAGTTGCAGGCGACTCAGCGGCACATAACAACAACAACATACAGATAGAATAGGTATGGAGAAAAGGATACATCCTTCATGCACACCCTTCCTGATTTTAAACCGTACAGTGTTCCCTAGCTGTGGTTGAACAGCAGCTTCGTGGTCTAGGTACAGATTTTTCATGAGCACAGTTAAGTATTTTGGGATTCATTCCCATTCTTCTCACTGTTAGCCAGTGTTATGATCCACAAGGTCAAATGCCTTTGCATAGTGGTGGCTGTTACTGTGTACCATGGAGTCAAAACCAACCCATAGCTGACCCCCCAGCAGGTTTTTAGAGACAGTTATAACCACACAGGAGGATATTGCCCATCTTTGTCCCGGAGAGCAGCTGGTTTATTTGAACCAAGTGCCTTCAGGATTGCAGCACAGCTTCTTACCAGAAGCTCCTTTGCATACAATTGTTAAGTGCCATCAAGTACAACTCATAGTGACCTTATGAACAGCCATTCAGAACCGTTCCCTATCCTGTGCCATCCTCACCTCTGACACACTAGAGCCCATTGCTGGTCACCGTATCAGTCCATCTCACTCAGAGTCTTCCTTTGTTTTGGGTCACCTCCATCTTTCCAAGCATCATGTCCTTTCCAAGGAACAGCTATATGTCCAAAGTACAAAATCAAAGCTTTGTCATCCTTGCCTCCCAGGAGCACTCTGGCCACACCCTTTTCAGGACTCATCTATCTGTTTGTTCTTTTGGCAATCCATGGGGTATTCAGTACTTTTCTCCAGCACCAAAATTCAATTTCCGTAGTTTTTCTGTCATCCTTATTCATTGTCCAGCTCTCTGATCCATAGCAGGTGATTGAGAAGACTGTCCTGACCCAGGCACACCTTAGTCTTCAAATTGACATCATTGCTCAGCATTTTGGAGATACCCCTGCCAGCATATTTGCCCAGTGCAATATGTCTCCTGATTTCCTGACTGCTGGTACCTTGACCTCTGCCCTGCTTGGGCATGTATTACAGAGTTTTTAGCTCTGCCATTTTTAAGTATCATCCCACTCCAGTAGCCTAGGCCCAAAGGTGCTTAGCTCTAGCTCCATGGTTTGATAAACTAGTTCCCTAAAAAGACCCAAAGGCAGTCTGCTCTCTTGTTCTGTGGACCAGGAAGCCCATAGTTCTGACTTGTGCCAATGTCCTGATTCTGCTGCCTCTAGCTGCCATCTTTCCACCAGACACTTAACACCACTCAGGTATTACCGCTCTTATGTTTTCTGGGTCCAGGAGTTTCAGCACTGGGTCTCAAGTGCAAAAGGCTCACTGCACACTCTTGCTTTTCTTTCTTGATATTGAGCTCCCTACTTTGCACCTCTGGGATGCCTCAATTTAATAAGCCTGGTGGGTGTCGAGACTGACCAACCCCTGCATTATCTTTCTACATATTTTACCTGAATGGTCCAACTCCAAAGGTGGTTTTTCTTCTTTACATTTTTAAACAAATTATCCAGTCCTCTTAATGGGCCGTAAGTACCTCACGACAGACTTGCCAGAAGTTCAATCAGGGGAGCTCCAGTGGCAAGAAGCTGCATTGCAATCCCAAAGGCACACTGTTCAAATCCCCAGAAGCTCCTCTGAAGAAGGAGGGGAAATCCCCCTGTGCAAGTTGGATCCGATTCAACAGTACACAACAACAAAAAGAAATTTTAAGCAGGATTTAGAGGCAGCTGTGGCACAGGGAATGTCATTGCTGAGGTCAAAGAGATCCTGGCTAAAAGCAAAGAATATCAGAAGAATGTTGATTTATGCTTATTTGACTGTGTAGAGGCACTTGACTGTGTATGTCATAACAAATTATGACTAACACTGAGAAGAATGGGAATCTTAGAACACATAATTGTGCTCATGTGAAACCTAAACCTTTTCAATCTGTTTGCTGAGCAAAGTATTTGAGAAGCTGGACTTGTGGAAAAAAAGGTGACATCAGAAGATGACTCATCAATAACCTGTTATACAGATGATCAGCCTTCCTTGCTAAAAGTGAGGAGGATGCAACAATGAATGAATGAAAACCCAAACCTTCTGTAAACTTTTGTTAAAAGTCACAATTTTTTGAAAAGAAGAGGTGAAGCCAGAGTCTGTCTTAGAAGCGAACGAAGATGGTGGGATTTTCTCTCACATACCTTGGGCATGTTGTAAGGAGGAGCCAGTCTCTGGAAAAGGACATCACGCTTGTAAAAGTGGAGGTTGCTGAAAAGGTAGGCGGTCCTCAGTGAGCTTGGTTGGCATGTTGACTGACCTCATGAGCTTAATCATAGCAGGGACTATGAGGATGGCACAGAATCGTGCAGGGTTTGCTCTTTTGGACAGTAGGGCTGCCATGATGTGGACTGACTCAAAGGCACCTGAGAGCAAAGCAAGTTAGGATCCCAGGAAGATGCTTAGCTGTGTTTTCTTGACTGCAAAGGCTTAAACTGTGTGGATCAGAAGAAATCATGAATAGTACTACACAGAATGAGAAACATAGAGCTCTTGACTTTGCTCATACAGAAACTACATGAATCAAGTGGCAGTTAGCTGGACAGTGCTTTGTTCTGTTCACACTGGGTGACCATGAGTCAGAGAGGATGGAACTTAATCATACCACTGGGCCAATAGGCAACATCATGGTAGATGGATGAAAAATAGAAATTGTCATGAGTTCATCTTACTTGGATCCACAATCAGCACCCTTGGTGCCAGCAGCCAAGAGATCAGGAACAGTAAGGGACCTCTCCAAATCATTGAGGAACAATGAAGTCACTTTGAGAACTAAGGTGTGCCTGATTCAGGCCACAAACTCTTTAATCACTTGTTATGCATCTGAGAGCTGGACAGTGAGTAAAGATGATAGAAGAATTGCTGTATTTAAGTTGTGTTGGAGAAGAGTGTTAATATCCCATGGATTATCAGAAGAACAAAATGGTATATCTTGGAGACAGTGCAGCCAGAGTGCTCCTTGGAGGAATAAATGGTAAAGCTTTGTCTCACATACTTCAGGCATGTTGCTAGGAAAGGCTGTTCTTTAGAGAGGGACATCATACTTGGAATGGTGGAGGGATGGTGAAAAGACAGTCGCTGGTCGTACCTCAAAATGGATTGGCCAGTGACTGCAGCGGTGGGCTCAAGTGTGTCAGAGACTGTGAGGATGGCACAGTGTAGGACAGGGTTCAGTTCTATTGTTCATAGGGTCACTATGAGTCATACTCGACTTGAAGACACCTAACAACCACAACAACTAAGTCATGTGGTGAGAGTTCTGAAAATAGTAGCTTAAAAGAGCCACACCAAGTTAAGTTAGTGCATTGCAAACCTCACCCCACCTAGTAGAAATTACAAGACTGAGTAGAGCAGGAGGGATTCAGAGGAGTCAGAACCTGGCTGCAAGTATGTATTGGGTACTAGTGTCTACCTACCTGAGCATTGTCCCCACCAAGAGTCTATTGGTTCTGCTTTCTGGGAAGATGGGCCCGCCTATGTAGGGACATGGCTGTTGTGTAATAAATCATCTTTGCTTTTTACCTTAAAAAAAAAGTCCATTGGTGCCATAATTTGCTTTAACTGTTTCCTTCTCTAGAGGAAAGCCAGAAATTGTGGGAAGCAACTTAGACACGCTAGTCAGCATAGGACTGGAGGAGAAGTTTCCACCAGATTACCAGCTAGCCCAACAGGTGTGTCTTGCCATTGCCAACATCTCCGATAGGAGAAAGGTATGTATGCTTGTGTCCAGAATCAGGAGAATGCATATCCTCTTATTCTGGACACAACACCCACTTCCTGTGTTCCCTTCTTACTTTCCACAGCCTTCTTTGGGGTCGCGCCACCCACCCTTCCGACTGCCTCAAGAACACAAGTTGTTTGAGCGACTGCAGGAAATGGTCACAAAAGGTGTGCTGTCACGAAAGGCCTTAAGCTGCAAGCCTCCGGCGTGCTTGGGTCTGGAATGGTCCTGTGCATTTCTACCATGCTTGCAAGAGCAGTGTTGAAATGGCTTGAGGCTTTGCTTTACACCATCCATGGAGCAAGGTTATAGAAATTTCAGACAGTTGGAAGAAAAGAAAAAAAAGAAATGCCTTAAGGAGAGAGAAAAAAGAAATGGGGGGGGGGGTGCGGGGAACCACCAAAGAAAGGCCTTAAGAGACCAGTGAAAGAAAGTTGGACAGAACTGGGTCGTCTCTCTGTGATGGCTACCTTCTCCCTCCTGTACAGGTTTTGTCCACCAGGACCCACTCTGGATCCCATTCAAAGAGGTAGCAGTGACCCTTATCTACCAGATGGCAGAGGGTCCTGAGGTGATCTGTGCCCAGATATTGCAGGACTGTGCGAAGCAGGCCCTGGAGAAGCTGGAGCAGAACCCCTCACAGGAGGAACTGAGTAAGTGAGGGCTCAGGGGCCCAGTAGAAGGCAGTCAGTTTGGCTACTCACCCTGCTGAGCCAAAAGGCCCTGCCACCACCACTTTGTACATAATCCCTTACTCCCTCAGCCCACACTATTTCATTCTCCAAGAAAGATGAGCAGAAAAAACCTTTCCTTTTTTCCCTGAAGCTGGGGTAGTTACCACTGCCATCTCCATACCCCTCCCACCATCTCTTGCTTCTGCAGTTGTTTAAGTAGCACTTGAACAAGAGGAAGAACAGTAAAAGCAGGATTCAGGGTTCTATCTGACTTGCTGTGTCTTTTTCTCTCCCTTCCTCTCCACCTCCTCCAGAGGAGACCCCCAGGCTCCCTACTTACCTGCTAATGAACCTGCTGTCCTTGGCTGGGGATTTGGCTCTGCAGCAGCTGGTCCATTTGGAGCAAGCAGTGAGTGGAGAGCTGTGTCGGCGCCGAGTTCTTCAAGAAGAACAGGAGCACAAGAGTAAAGGTCTGAAGGAGAAGGTGAGTTAAGCCCCTGAGCATTGGGGTTCAGATTCCTCCAATCTGTCTTGGGCCATAAATTTTTCTTCCTGGACTCTACTAAACGTAATAAAGAAGCATCTGTACCTCTTTGCTGCCACTACTCAGAGAAAGATTAATGTAGACAAAGATAAGACAATCTATCCATGTTCACCCAGGAGGGAACACAGTCTCAAGTTAGAAACTTCATCTTACAGTAAAGGCTGAATCTTCAGCAGTGTTAGAAAATGCAAATACCAAGACTGCTTTGCATCTGCCTTGGTTCCTCGGCCTGGTACCTGATGGGAACCTTGTACACTGTCCACTAGAGGCAGTGATGTCTTAAACACAAATAAGCCAAAGCCCTGCAGAATGTGATGTCTGACCTTCTTTCTGACCTTGAACCATTGTCTGTCATGATCTTACGTGGTTACTATATACAGGAAGTTATTTCTCTTCTAAAATAGTAAGTCAAAAAGAAATGTATAAGCCTGCTGCGGCAACTTGAGCACCTAGTTCTCTCTCCCTGCTTAATTCAGAAACGCTTTCTCCTTATTCTCCGTAGCTGTTAACTCTCTCGATGGTTTTGCAGAATTTCCCTGTAAGCACATCCATCTCTGTGGTTGAAATGGAGTGCAGGCTGGATTTGGAAATGCCGTCCTTGCTCACCTGCTTCTTTCCCTTTAGAACACAAGCTCTGAGACCACCATGGAGGAGGAGCTAGGGCTTGTCGGGGCGACTGCTGACGATCCAGAGGCAGAGCTGATCCGTAACATCTGCGAGATGGAACTGCTGAATGGTAAGAAGAATTGTTGAGTGACTTTCTCCCTGTCTGCGATAACCTGTCGCAAACCTGAGTTGTTATCCCAACAGGCAAACAGACCCTGGCCACCATCATTCCACTTCTGCTTAAAGTGTGCAACAATCCAGGTCTCTACAGCAATCCTGAACTTTGTGCGGCTGCCTCGATCGCCCTCGGCAAGTTCTGCATGGTTAGGTAGGCCCCGAGCTCGGCACTGCCTTTGCAGGCAGGAGGGAGGTCTATGGCTTCCCTGATCATCCTCTCTTTGCCCATAGTGCCACCTTCTGTGATGCCCAGCTTCGTCTTCTGTTCACCATGCTAGAAAAGTCCACGCTCCCCACTGTCCGGTCCAACCTCATGGTCGTCGCTGGGGATCTAGACATTCGCTTCCCCAACCTGGTGGACCCCTGGACCCCTCATCTGTATGCTCGGTGAGAGATCTGCAAGCCCATGGTCAAGCCAGTACAAGGATTAAGATTTCTCATCCTTGCCACTAGCGTGACATCACTTGATACTTGGCTGACAGTAAAGCCTTGTCTGTAAACTTCATCATTTTCCTTATCTCTAGCTTACTGTTTGTTGAACAGTACGTTATGGAGCCACACATTTCTATTTGGGTCTTTCCTAACAACTGTTAGGGTGTGACCACAGGTCTTGGTCCCAATGACTTGAGATTTTTTTCCTAGCCTCCGAGACCCAGCTCCTCAGGTGCGGAAAACAGCTGGGCTGGTGATGACCCACCTTATCCTGAAGGACATGGTGAAGGTGAAGGGTCAGGTGAGCGAGATGGCGGTGCTACTCATCGATCCTGAGCCCGAGATCTCAGCCCTGGCCAAGAACTTCTTCAACGAGCTTTCCCACAAGGTGAAGGGGCAGAGAGGCAGCTCAGGGCTTGTGGCAGAAGGAATATGTAAGTGACCTCATCTTTTTAACAGGACTCTCTGTCTTCCAGGGCAATGCAGTCTATAATCTCCTTCCAGATATCATCAGTCGCCTGTCAGATCCCGAGGGTGGCGTGGAGGAAGAGCCTTTCCACACCATCATGAAGTACTTGCAGTTCCTAGGGCCTTAGTGCCCGTTTTCCATGTAGCACAGTGGGAGAGCACAGGCCTGGGAATTAGATAAGCCTGTTAGTTCGGTTCTAGCTCTGCTACTTTGTAGCTGTATGACCTTCAACACTAAACCTCTGTGCTAACTACAAAATGTGGTTAATAATATCGGCCCCTTAATTTTCTTGAGAAGATGAAATAGATGAAGTTCCTAAAGCTGTAGGCACTCACTAGTGCTCACTAAATGGTAGCTTGTTTTGTTATTTCCGGTCATAGTGAACATTACTTGGGGTTTGAGGGGCCGGGCATGGGCCTTCCCCTGCGTTGTGGGAGAGGACAAGGGAACTGGAGGGTTGCAGGCAGGGCCATGCAGGGAAGATTCGAAGCAGTACTGGGAGGGTACAGGTCTGGGTGGGTGAGGCTGGCAGCCAGTCACACCTCCTCCCCATGCCCTCTGCAGGCAGCTCCTCTCCTACATCACCAAGGACAAGCAGACAGAGAGCCTGGTGGAGAAGCTGTGTCAGCGCTTCCGCACCGCCCGGTACCTTGACACCCTGAGTCCTTTGTGCTGCCAGGGGCCCTGCAGGGCTAAGACGCTTCCACCCCCACCCGATGGCATCCCAGGGGCTGTCAGAGACAGAGGAGGGAGGATGGGTCTGTACTGCATGCATGTCCCTGCTCCTCACAAGCGAGCATCCACCTTCTCATCTGCAGAACTGAGAGGCAGTACCGGGACCTGGCCTACTGTGTGTCACAGCTGCCCCTCACAGAGCGAGGTCTCCGAAAGATGCTGGACAACTTTGATTGCTTTGGAGATAAGCTGTCAGATTCCTCCATCTTCAATGCTTTTTTGTTGGTTGTGGGCAAGCTGCGACGTGGGGTCAAGCCTGAGGGCAAGGTGAGCTGCCTGTGCTCCCTAAGCACCATCTGAGGCACCTGCAACACTGTCTTATCTGCAGCCCCATTGCAACCAAGTTACCAGAGTGATCGGAGACAGAACTTTCTGTCTCTAATTCCTACTTCTTTTTAATCACTGAGAACTATGTTTCTAAGCCTACTGCTAATCTCCCTTTTTTCCCTCCAGGCTTTAATAGATGAATTTGAGCAGAAGCTTCGAGCCTGTCATACTAGAGGGTTGGATGCCGTAGAGGAAATTGAGCATGCCCAAGGGGGAAGCCAGAGAGCCCCATCAGCCACCAAGAAACAATCCACTGGTATGTGAAGCAGGCCTGTGGGCGGAGGCCCAAAGTGTGTGTTCTGATATTGCATTTAACACCTGTTTCCTGCCTTTTCAGTCTCCAGGCGTCAGCACCTGGCTTCTGCTGCCTCAGACGATGATTTTGTGACGCCTGAGCCCCGCCGTACTGCCCGTCCCCGTCGCCATCCTAACACCCAGCAGCGACTTTCTAAAAAGAAACCCAAGATTGTCTTCTCAAGTGATGAGTCCAGTGAGGAAGGTATGGTGTGACCTCCTGGACTTTGTGTGTGAGGCTGGTTTGCTTGTGTCCTGCACTGAACTGGAATCTCTACCCTAGTACCCGGGGGCTGTCTTCTTCCAGGAATTCTGGATTCTATTTCCATAACTTCATCTGGGGCTGTATCATTTTTTTTTTCCGAGGTCTGTATTTCACCATCTTTGTAACTCTTCTCACCCTAATGTTTTTGATAGAACTTTTAGCAGAAATGACCGAAGATGAGACACCCAAGAAAACAACCCCCATCCGCCGAGCATCCGCTCGAAGACACAGGTCCTGAAAAGTCATCTTAGCCTGTTCCCACTCCTGATTTGTAGGGCTCCTGTAAAAATATTCTTTTGCCTCTCTGTTTTTAATACGTACAAGATCTTTGTAATAGAAGACATTTCTCTTACTCTCCTAACTTAACTGCTTTGAGCTGCTTTCACTTTGCGGTATATGTTTACCGATCTCCTTTTGTAATGAATAAATGTTTTTACATACTTTTTTTAAAAAAATACTATTTAATTGTATTTTCACAGAGAGTTTACATAACAAATTAGGTTCCTGTTTTCACAATTCCTGCACAATTATTTGGTGACATTGATTACATTTTGCACCATGTGATTGTTGTATTCCCAGTGATGTCGTTTTCCTGGCCCTACATACCATTTCCACAGTAGTTATACCATTTTACAATCTCACCAGCAGTGGATAAGGGTTTATGTACTTTGAGATATTTATTTTTCCTAACTTTGTTCAGTTATCCCAGATTAAGGCAACAGAAGGTTGTCAGTCCAAGAAGGTAGGCCCAGGAGTCTTGAAGCCTGTCTCAAGATCTAACAAGCTTCACACTCTCGCCATCTTTAATTTTCAGCATTCCTATTCTGCACATATGACAAGATTGCTCCACTGTGGACAGGGATGTGGACAACTGCCCAGCAGTTGTCAACCTGGGGGTGCCCCTCAGATAATATTGCATAATTGTTACTGAATGAGACAAACAGATTGCAATATCGTTAAGAACTTTATTAACGCAGATCTGGGAGTCACCTCCAAGACTGCCTTCCCGTCTGGGAGTGGCCATCAGGTTTTATACTAGGGTGAAACTCTAGCTCATTTAACAATGCACTCTTGTTAGTAAAAAGTAATTAAGACACAATTTACATATGACTGGAGAACCAGCTTCCCCAAGGATCTAGGATAGATACATTTCCTCTTCTGGTAAACAGATCAAACTACTTTACATGACTAAAGACAGGAAGCAGAGAATTTGGAGGCTAAGTAACTAGTTTTGCAGGCTGAAGAAAACTGATGTTAGTTTTATAACTATATGAGAATTCCAAACTTATTAAAACCACCCTATCACAATGTCTGAAGACATTTTTACTGTTGTACAATGGCAAACAGAGCTGTTACTAGCATCTAGTGGTAGCCAGGAGTGTGTTAAACATTCTGTAATGCACAGGACAACAGCACAAGTTTTGCCATAGAACAAAAGCTGCCATCTCCACCCCACCCCCACTGTTCCCTAACTCCATCTGAATGTGGGTGACTGACCTGGTGGGACTGGTGAGAGGGAGACAAATTCTACTTCCAAGAAAGATTTATATGGAAGGTCTACAAGGAGGCTGAGCCCCTTAGATGCCTCTCGCCAAGCCTGTCCCCCACCCTGGCCTACTCCTCAAACCTGGTTTCTCCTAGAACAGGAGTCTGCTGTCATGACAACATGCTGTCATGACAACAGCAGGCTGCGTCACTGCAAGCTCCCTGGGCACTGAACTCCCTTTTTTCCTTCTTTTTTTGGCAGAGGATAGTAATGAAAAGTGACAAGCATGAGGTAAAGGGAAGATGGTGTCTCAGAATCGTGCTTTAGGCAGTACAGGAGCATGGAGGGCTCTAAAACACTTGGTGGGGAAGAGGTAACAGCCTGGAGAAGCCTCTGCAGGAATGGAACCTAGTCTGCCTGTACATTCACTTACTCTGCTTCCCCCAATTAAGCTCGGGAGAGCTCCCAGTGCAGGCGGTGCTTCCCACTCCATCTCTTCATCAGGTGCCCGCTTCCCCCGCTCTTGCTCTTCATGAAAAGCCTGGCGATAACTATGCAGATACTTGCCAGGCATGGCCACAGCTTTGGCTCTGCGGCCCCAAGTAGGAAGGGCAATCCCAGAAGGGGAGGCACTGGGGCAGGAGTGGGGGTGCAGGACACAGCGTGCTCCCTGACTTTTAAGCAAAGGTCTGCTAAACTTAGCCACATGCTTTCAGCTAGAAGGGCAGGGGGCTGGTCTCAGGTTACACTGAGCGAGCAAAGGAGGCTCCAGGATCCCCCTCCCCGGCACCTGTTAATGAGTAATGTCCATTCCCCCGCCACCTCAGAGCCATCATTCATTTCAAGGGCTCAGAATATCCTTTCCCGCCTGTGGATGGTGTGAGTAAAGGGTGCTGCTCCCGCCGGTGCCCAAGACTCCCTTCCATTTTTCCCTCTTCTGGACCTCACCCCGACCCCAACATCCCCCTGGCGAGCAACCAGTGAAAGGGAGTCCCTGGCTCGCAGGCTGGCCAGCACGTCCCGGGAAGGGAGGGACTTCCGCCCTCACGTCCAGTTCCCGGCTCGGCGCCGGTGGGGTGAAAGGGACACTGTCTCCCAGCCCGGGATGCACAGCCCTCACGTTCCTAGCAGCGACTTTGTGGGAGGCCTCTGTCCCTGCGCCAGCCCAGTCCTCTGAGGCCGCAGCCTGGGGCCAGGAGGGGTGCTGCTGGTACTCACAGGGCCGGGTTTGTCTGCCCCAATTATCAGGACACAGTGACCTTCAGTGCACAAGCCTCCCCCCTCGCCCCCCACTGCCCGGTGCCCAGCCTAAGCCCCCAGTCCTGCGAGGCCCGAAGCCAGAATGTGAGAACGGGAAGCGGGGGGCTGGGAAGGGCTCGGCAGGCCCCTCCCCGGCCTCTTCCCCTTCTGTTTCTGTGTCACTACCGAAGAGCCTCGAGGTGAGGTTCCTCGCCTCTCCGCCATTAAGAAAAGGGGGAAAGAGGGTGGCCGCATGCAGCCGCAAGGAGTCCAAGGCTCCTACTCCAAATCTCCATCCCACAGGTTCCTATAGTCCTCTCATTCCATTCGTGCAGCAACTTTCGCGTCCCTGGCTACCTCATGGCCTCGTTCTCATCAGGGCCCATATCTTCCAGCCGGAGGCCCACAAACCCTGCCCTGGGCGCCATCGCTGCCTTCCTCCCCCATCAAGCCCACCTGAGCCCCCTCCCCCACTCCGGAGCCCACAAGCGCAGCGCGTGCACACAGAGCCGGGCAGGGCGGGGCCGGGGCGGAGAAGGCGCCTCTACTCGCAGATTTACGGGCGCACGTAGCTCAGGTCTCAGCGCCCTTGAGCCAGGACTGGGCGAGCACACGGGAGGCGGGGCTCGCGTCACTGTTCCCCCACCCCCTTGGAGCGTCCACTCCCTCCTCTCTATAAAAAGAGACCGCCACCTTCTCCTGCGCTCTCTGCTCCTCGTCGATCCAGATTGCCCTCTCTTCTTGTGCAACCTCAGGTAGCAAAGGGATAGCGGAGTAACAAAAGGCTAGTGGATAGCTCCAGGAGGGCTGAGCACGTGTGCGGCCCGGGGACTTAGCGGGCTGCGGGGTCGGGGAGTGCGGGCTTTGGCCCCCGCACTGCAGAGATGGGAGGACGTGATAGTGCGCAGTGTGGGAATGGAGGCGCAAAGAGGGGGGGCGGGGGGCACGGGCTGCACGCATCCTTAGTCCTGGGGCCCCATGGGTGAGTCTGGGGTTGCTCATCCTCCTCTTCTCCCGCAGCCGCATCCCTGAGACACGATGGTGAAGGTCGGAGTAAACGGGTGAGTTAGAGTGGGTAGGGTGGGGCGTTAAGAGCTTGGGCACATCCCACTGAATTCTATCCACGGGACCCTCCAGCCGCGTGGATAAGTGGGTGGCCTGGCCGTGTCTCCCTCCCCAAGGAGAAGTCAAGGTCAGCGCCCTGACCTGGCCGAAGCTCCAGCTTCAGAGGCCCTTGTGTCCCCCACCGTCAGCTGTTGCGCCTCCTATAGCTCCGCCCCTACGGAGTTGTCTGGAGCTTTCCATTGCACCCGCGCAGACAAATTGGAGCGTCCCTACTGCTCACTCTGAAAGTATCCCCCTAATCCCCCCACCTGGGGCTTCTTTCTTTCCTTTCGCGCCCTGCGGGTCACGTGTCCAGCAGGATGGCTCCCCTCCCCCACCAGCCTCCCTCCAGCGCTGGATGCTGGATGCACGGACGTACCCCGAGGGGGTGTTACGTCCGCGGTAGCTCAGCCGCCATGTTGCAACGGGGGAGGAAATGAATGAACCACCGTTAGGAAACCTTCCTTAGCTCTTCAGCCTTCCTCCTTCCCTCTGACTAACGCTCTTGCTCCCTGCCTCAGTGGGGTGGAGTCTCCTTTTTCCTCTAAACCAGTTTAGCAGATCTTCTGAGGACCTGGACCTCATAAACCCACTGACCATATTAGCTGAAATTATTACTTTAATCTCTGGCCAGCTCTCCCCCTCCATGATGCATTTTGTAGATTTGTTGGGAGGGGGGGTTTTTTGTGTTTTTTTTTTTTTTGAGAGGTGTGGTAGCTATATCTGAGTGCACAGCTAGGAGAGCTGAGTCATGGACAGTTAGAAAAATTAAAACATAAAATGGCTCCTGTGGCAGAAGCCTTTTCCCCTCACGTAACTCACCTCACAGCTTCTCTCCCCTCAGCCATGCTTCAGCTGCACTCAACCCTAAAGGCCATCACTGAAAAGGTCACTAGGAGGATTAGGTGTCTATGAGTCTTGAGAATTCTACCCTTCTCCTCATTCCATCTTCTAGAAACCAGATCTCCCCGACTCCAGCCTAATCTGGGGTTAAATATAGCCGCCTGACCTTTCTGTAGCTGGGGGCCTGGGCTTCTCCCATTCACTGCCCCCTCCCCCGCACACACATCTGTTACTAGTGGTCTTCGGAAGCAGCTCTGAGGAACTGCATAGAAAAAATTAGAGCCCTCAGTTGAAAGCCAACTGCTTTCTCGTTTGCCCTTTTGGTAGGAGGGACTTGGGAGAATGGGCCAGGCTCACCATGTTAAATTGATTGCTAACCTTTACTTCTGCCCTTTGAGCTTGGTGATGCTGAGTATACAAGTCTTTCTCACTAGAGGGTGTGGCCTGAAGCTGAGCCAGCCTGGGAGCAAGCATTCCCAGGCGCAGCTAGTGGGGGTGGTGGATGCCATGTGCCAGGCTCATGCCTGGATTGTGGGATGGCTTCAGTGCCCTGCTCCTTCTTGAAGGGCTTCTGATGGTTGAGGGAGGGGGATGGGTAAGCATTTGAGCCTGACTACTTCAGGTTGGGTGGAAGCTCCACTTAATGGCCACACTGTAGACCCAGTCAGTCATTAAACAAGACCTCTTAGGAATTTATGGACATAACCAAATATAATATTCTGTACTCTCATCAACTGGGTGAGCATAAGGCTGTTTAACTGAAAATTCCAATTTATTCCTCACACCTTTTTGCACCTCTTGTTAACTTCAGATTTGGCCGCATTGGGCGCCTGGTCACCAGGGCTGCATTTAACTCTGGCAAAGTGGAAGTTGTTGCCATCAATGATCCCTTCATTGACCTCAACTACATGGTAAGTAAGCACGTGCAGCTTGTTGGGGAAAGGTTGAAATTGACTGAGGGGCAGACCCCTAATCCCTTCACTTGTTCCCGTAGGTCTATATGTTCCAATATGATTCCACCCATGGCAAGTTCAACGGCACTGTCAAGGCTGAGAATGGGAAGCTGGTCATCAATGGGAAAGCCATCACTATCTTTCAGGAGTAAGTGTGGGGAAATAGAGGAAAAAATAGCTTTAGTGAGGTACTAAGGTAAGGTGGCCACCTTGAATACATGGTACCTCGTGTTACTGAACTTTGCTCTGTGTCTTCCCTTGTAGGCGAGATCCTGCCAACATCAAGTGGGGTGATGCTGGTGCTGAGTATGTTGTGGAGTCCACTGGTGTCTTCACAACCTTGGAGAAGGCTGGGGCTCACTTGAAGGGTGGTGCCAAACGGGTAATCATCTCTGCTCCTTCTGCCGATGCCCCCATGTTTGTGATGGGTGTGAACCATGAAAAGTATGACAACTCTCTCAAGATTGTCAGGTGAGTTGGGCAGAGGTAAATGCTGAAGTGGTCAGAGATGGCACTGACTGTCACAGGGTGACATACTTTTGCCTCTTTTCAGCAATGCCTCCTGCACCACCAACTGCTTGGCTCCCCTGGCCAAGGTCATCCATGACAACTTCGGCATTGTAGAGGGACTCATGACCACAGTCCATGCCATCACTGCCACCCAGAAGACTGTGGATGGCCCCTCTGGAAAGCTGTGGCGTGATGGCCGTGGAGCTGCCCAGAACATCATCCCTGCATCTACTGGCGCTGCCAAGGCCGTGGGCAAGGTCATCCCTGAACTGAATGGGTAAGGCCCATCCTGCTTGGGTTCTGGGGAGCTGATGAGTATCAGAACCAGGGGGTGCAGGTGCTGACTCATTCTCCTTGTGCACACAGGAAACTTACTGGCATGGCTTTCCGTGTCCCCACCCCCAATGTGTCAGTTGTGGACCTGACCTGCCGTCTGGAGAAAGCTGTAAGTTTGAGATGACCCGTTGGGTTGGGGTTTGTTTCTGATAGAGCTGTTCAGGTGGTGGTGGAACATAAATAACCACCATCTCATTTCTACCCTATTAGGCCAAATATGATGACATCAAGAAAGTAGTAAAGCAGGCATCAGAAGGGCCCCTCAAGGGCATTCTGGGATACACTGAAGACCAGGTATAGGGGATAAGAAGCTTGGGTTCCCACACTGTCCCCCTGAGTAAGATCTAGTTCCCACTCTTGGATCTGTGTTCCTAGGTTGTCTCCTGTGACTTTAATAGTGACACCCACTCTTCCACCTTCGATGCTGGGGCTGGCATTGCCCTGAACGACCACTTTGTCAAACTCATTTCCTGGTATGTGGACTGGGATTAGGGAAGAAATGCTTAAATGTTAGCCCAGAAAATATCCCTGACTTATCTACTTTTGTTCCTTCAGGTATGACAATGAATTTGGCTACAGCAACCGGGTGGTCGACCTGATGGTTCACATGGCCTCCAAAGAGTAAGATCCCCTTGGACCACCAGCCCCAGCAATAGCACTAGAAGAGAGAGAGAGACCCTCAGCTGCTGGGGAGTCCTTGCCCCAACTTGATCCTCCCACACACTGAAAATCTCACATCCTTGACACAAGTTTCCATCAAATCCCCCTGAGAAAGGGGAGGGGCTTGGCGAACCCATCCTGTCATGTACCATCAATAAAGTACACTGTACTCAGCCAACCTTTTTGTCTATTTCATCTTATTCAAAGGTCTAGAATAGAAGGAAAGCTATGATAATTATGTAATAAGGGAGTTTGGTGGCCTAGTAGTAAGGAAAGTTTTTGAGCTCTGTCATTCTGTTCATGGGGAGGATTCATCCCACACCAAAAGGACACATGTCTTGAAACCTTGCAAATTTAGGGTCAGTCTTTGGAGAGTCAGCAAGAGAAAAACCTCAATGAGAGGGACTGACAGTGACTGCAGCAATGGGCTCGTGTGTCAGAAGTGATGAGGATAGGGCAGAGTTCAGGTCTGTTGTCTTTAGGGCTGCTATGAGTCATCTGGTGATTCGATGGCCCAGCCATTTGAGGCAGAGGCCTTTTCTGAGTTCCTGCCTCAGGTTACTTAGTGGCTGGCTCCATGACCATCTGGCCTTCTCTGAAGACTCAGCCTCTCTGATGTCCAGCAACCCCCTACGGGGTAATTGTGTGAAAAATCCAAGTTTGGGCACCCTTAATCTGTGACCCTGACAGGTTGCTTGATCTTGAAGCAGACTCTTTGGGACCATCAGGGTTCAAACTTCAACTCTGCCATGTACAACTGTGAAATCAACAAATTGTTTGCTTTTCTGTGTCCTAGTTACTTCATCTACAAATAGTGTTCAGCACCTAAGGCCTTTAGGATTAAAGGGGTTACAAAAGACCTTTAAAGTACTAGAATCAGGCTCCCTAAGTTAAGTACTGAAAAAACCCAGTAATGGCCACCTCCAGTGTAGGAAGAGACACAACAGGTCCCATAATGCCTATTCTGCCATCCTTCGGTGAAGTACAAAAGCTTACTGGGAGATGCACCTGGTTTGGAGTTGTGGGTTCTGCCACTTTTATCTTAGGCAAGTTACTTGTAATGTTCCTGTGCCTAACTAGGCACATGCACATTTATAAAATAGATTAAATCAATGGTGTAGTCTGCTTGGGCTCAGAACTGTTAATACTAAAAAACAACACTCGAGACAGGGACACAGGTGCTCAATAAATAATTGCCAGTTTCATTATTAAAGATTCCATTCAAATGTCACCACAGCCTCCACGGGCAGTTACACTGAGGTATTCGCCATCACATCTTCCCAATTTCTCCAAGTCTTCTCACATCACGGACGTCCTCTTACTTGGCCTGTTGGTCTCACGTGTGACAGACACGGAGGAGGCACATATTCAGCTGATGAACCGAGACCCTGAGCACATGCACACCCACACGCACAGTGCACAGGTGCGCACACAATTCGCTTCACCTTTTCTCTCAATCACTCAGCACTGACTAGAAGCCGAGCAAGAGCTTCCTTTCCCTTCAGGATACGCACCAGTCAGATCCCCCAGCAGAAGGTTACAGGCCCACGTGGCAGGCAGGCTGCCTGCCCAGCCCCAAGTCCCTGTGCCTGCAACAGGGAGGGAACTTCCTCCAACTATAGGTATTGCACAAGCCGCAGTACTTTTCAGCTTAATCCACTTCGTGCCAGTACCTGGGCCAGTTAGCACCAGTATGGGAAGACAGGCGGTGCTAGGCCACAGGATGGAGGGATGATCTCACACATTCCTTACACAGAAGGTAAGGACCACATTCCAATCTGGCAGCATTTTAAGAATGGGAAAGCAGCAGATACCCGCACATGGAGACAGGGTAGACTGCGGCAGAGTGTCCAGGAAGGGCGGAGCCACGCTTTAGCTCCAGATCCTCAAAACCCTGGATACGCTGAGGAGGAAGCCAAGAACGGACGCCCAGGCCCTGCGGCCAGCCATGGTGCAGTGGGACAAGGAGGCCCTTCCCGTCACCCGTTGCCCCCTGAGGCTCCAGCAGGGCAGCCCAGGTGGTGGCCCCAGGCCCCTATCTCATGGAGCTATCAGATGAGACATCCCGATCGGAGTCCTCAGCCTCGCTCTGCGGTGGCGGCGGTTCGCTAGGCGGGACCACAGTGAAAGCAGGAGACTTTCTAGAAAAAAAAACACTAATTGTCACCTTAGGACCTTAGGGCAGGGAGGAACGCTGATGAGGTGTCACTCTTCCTGTGCCCTTTCTCTCTGGCACGTACACCTTGGCCCAGGGCTGGGAGAGCATGGGGTAAGGGAGGACAAAGGGTGAGTGGGGGTGAGGGAAGAAAGAGTCCTCCACTGTCCCACCCTGGGAGGGAAACGACCCTTGCTTCTGTCCTGGGGAGTCTCAGGGGTCAGAAACCTCTTAAATCATGATCTGAGATGTGCTGTTGGAGCTGAGTGCTTGATGCCTGCCTACATTACCATTGTGACATTTGTGGTGTTGTTTTTAAACCTTTTGGTTGAGATATGACTGACCACAGGATCAAATGAACAAACCATTTGACTTAAAAATCTGCCCCTACACACATCCCTCTGCCTGGTCAGTTTGAGGCTGTTTCTCACAGGATCAGAGTTGGCAGCACTGGGCATTCTAGCCAGGTAGACATACAGGATCCTCCAACTGGCAGTCTGGGCTGGATAACCAGGGGACTCTCCCACATCACGACATGACAGAGTCCCCCAGGTTTGTCCGCACTGGCCAGCCAGGGCTCTGCTTCTCCCCCCGCATGCCCACATTGGAGTAGCCCCGTACCGGTCCCCAGACTGGGTGATGAGCCCCTTACCGGTCCCCAGACTGGGTGATGAGCCGGCGGCAGGTCTCCATCTGCACGTCCAGGCCCCGCTTCATGCTGCACATCTCCATGTACTCATGCAGGTGCCGGTTCATGTCATTCTTGGCTGTGGCCAGCTCCAGCTGTGACGGGGTGACAGCGCCATCGGGTCAGCATGGCACCCTGTTCCAGACTCCCAGAGGCTCACAATCCAAGAGCACTGGCTGGGCAGAGGTGCTCAGGCAGCAACAACGGATGGTTTGGCTTACAGAGGCAGAAGGCAATGCATATGCTACCTTTTCCCTGAGTGTCCTGGGGATCTATCTACAGAAGATGCAGTGCTATTCTTGTAAGAGTGATAAAAGCACTGAAGAAATGTACTGTGGGCAGAAGAAAGAGGATCGATATTCTTACTACAGAACAGGGCGTGACATCTGCTCCTGCCTGGGGTTGGTCCGGGGCTTGGCTCATCCCTTAGTCTTGGTCTAACACTGCTCTCAGGTCTCTCTCCCGTGCTCAACTGTGAACTCCTCTAAGGAAAGCAACAGATCTTGCTCGTCTCTGCAACCTCCTATCTTGATGGGAATGAATTTTATGAAGTACCGACAACACTCACCAAGGAGGAAAGCTTCCTGCATTGGTAAGAGGCTCAACTTTCTCAGCATTTTCTTTTCCTTCCTTTATTGCTGTGGATTATATGCATCTCTCTAAAAGAGATGCTGAAGTCTAACTCCCAGTACCTGTGAATGTGCCTTGTTTGGAAATAGAATCTTTGAAAACTCATTTAACAAAAGTACTAAAGTAGCGGAGGTCCCAATCTAATACAAGTAGCATCCCTGCCAAAGAGAAGAGCTGCAGAGGGAAAATAGCCATGAAGAGATGCAGGGAGAGCTTGAGGAGATCTAGAAGTCAAGGATCACTGGCCATCACCTGAAGCGAGGAGAAAGACACACAGTAGACAGTTCCTTAGAGCATTCCAGAAAGAATAAATCTTGGTGACTTCTAGGCTCAACCAAACCAAAATCCACTGCCGTCAAATCAATTCCAATTCATAGCAACACTGCGAGACAGAACAGAATTGCACCTAGAATTTCCAAGGCTATGAATCTTTACAGGAACACAGTCACTCATCTTTCTGCCACGGAGCAGCTAGTGGATTCAAACCACTGACCTTTAGGCTGGCAGGCCAGCACTTAATCCACTATCATCACGGCTCCTCCCAGCTTCTAGGACTATGATGTGTCAATTTCAATCCTTCTAAGCCACTGATTTGGTGATACTTTGTTACAGTAGCCCTAGAAAGCTAACATTTATTTCCTCCCTTGTAAGCATTTTCAGAGATAAAGAAGAACGTCATTTATGCAACAATGAATGAATGGAAACCCAAAATCTCTGTAAATGTTTATGAAAATTAATAAAATATAATTATAGAAAAAAAAAGAAGAATGTCATTTAAATGTCCTACTGATTATAAAATGTATCCCAATTTCAGAGTTATTATATGTGAAAAAGGTGGGTCTTGGAGTCAAGGAAGCATGGTCTCCCCTCCAAGAAAGCCTGACTGTGCAGCAAGCAGCTGGGAAGCGGAGGCAAAGGCGGAGGCCAGGCAGTAAAAGATCTGAGCCAGAAGTAATCTGCTGCTTCCTTTGTTTGGGGCACAAAGAACAGGGGCCAAGAGGGACAGCAGAAAACTGCTTGAGGTGATCTGCTTCAATGCCTGAAAACAGAAGAAGGGTAGGAAACTAGCCATGAGTAATCCAAATTGGACAGAAAGAGGACAGGAACTTGGAAAAACATGTGAACGGGTCCTAGAGCCAGGGAGGAGAGATGGTCAGGACAGCAACATTTGGGATGAGATGGGACCTGAGTTGGTGGTACAGTGGGCTGCTAACCAAAATGTTGGTGGTTCAAATCTACCAGCTATTCCATGAGAGAAAGATGAGGCCAACCCCAGCTGTTAGGATTTCCAGCCTTGGGAACTGGATGGCGGTCACCCCGGGTCAGGATCAATTCAATAGCAGTGGGTTTGGCTTTTTGCTTTGGTCGCTGGGAGGGTCAGAATGGCAGGCTGGGCTCCTACACAGCGGGGATGCTGCAAGCAAAAGGAATGAGGTGGGCTGGCTGTTCAATCTAGGAGGCAAACGGGACGCCACCAGTTCTTATTCCAACCAGCGCCCAGCCACCTATTCCAATTCCAGAGCTGAAGGAACTGGGTTCCGGAATCTCTGACTCACGGATATGTATCAAATATATTTCTATTAAGTTCCAAAGTTAGTACAACCACCAGGTATATCAATTGGGACTTCTTAACGTACACATTTAAAGTGAGGATGAGGTGAGGAGATGACCATTAAGTCAGAAGATATCCTCAACAACCTGTACTGTGTGAGTGGTGGGTAGGACAGATGGGAAGGAGAAAGAGGGGGAAAGAAATTCTCCTCCACACCACTTCTGGGGCCTTGGTGTTACCATCTGACAATGGAAACAACCCTTGCTTCCATCTCAGTGATCTCAAAGGTCACAAGAATACGCATATCTCAGATACCCCAGAGTGGTCACCAAGAGCAACCTGAAGCCAAGCCCTTCTGGCTGACTCCCCAAACACTGCTCCTCAGAGCACCTTACAGTGAAACCAGGAAGTTAGAGGACTAGAAAAGATCTTCATCGACATGTTTCCAATTAGGATTTTCTTTACTTTTTTGCAGCATCTTTTAACCTGGGCACTTTTGGTCTGAGGGAAGCCCCAGACAGATACAGCAGTCCCAGATCACTGTTCTAAGGCCCCCCACAGTTGGAGGTGCAACAAACCTTACTCCACATCCAAAAGAATCAGGTAAGAGAGGAGACAGTGAGGAGGGTGTGGACTGCCTCCCCTTAGCTAAGAGCACAGATCCAGCTGTGCCTTTAAATTTTAGCATTGCATGCCTAGGCAGAGAAAAAACAGGTTTGCTCAGAAGAGAGAAACCATTCCACATGTGCTGGGAGAGTAGGTCTACAGAAAAACAACTTTTCAACTTTCTTCTCATAATGTAGGCAGTGTGAGAGCAAGAGAGCATAAAAACGGGCTGGAAGGATAGCTGAGGTTCACAGAAGCCCACCTGCCCCCTTCCCATGTCCAAGTGCACACACAGGTCCTGCAAAGAATCATGGCCACTTCTCCTCCCACAGTTCATTTTCTGCAACCCTCAAGGTCTACAGCTGTATTTGAAAGAAAAACACCAGCTCCACCGGTCATATCCAGAAGGCTGCTCAAGAGGATTGGATGACAATGGACTTCTCCACGGCCTCAGTGGCTGAGCTGAAGAAGCAGTAAAGTTCAAGCTCACCTCTGAGAACTGTTAATACTAAGAGTGTTAAAAATATTAAAATTACCATTACGGAATACCTAGTATGAGCCAGACACTGTCTTAAGTTCTTTATGTGTATTACTTCAGTGACTCTTCACAGCAGCCCTAGTAGAGGGGTATTTTTAAGACCTCAGCTTTGAGAGAGGTTGAGAGAATGAGTAACATGACAGAAATGCTAGCATATAAGTGGCTGAACTGAAATACGAACTTACAACTATCTGCCTCAAGAGCCTGAGGTTTGAAGCTGCACTGCAATTCCAAAGGCACACAGTTCCAATCTACCAGCTCCTCTGTGGGAGAAGGATGGGCAATCTCCTCCTGTGTGATTACTGACTGAAAACAGGAAGGCTGGCTATGAGTCAATTCCAATTCCACGGCACAAAACAACAGTCCTCTACCGAGGGAAAAAACCAAACAATCAAAAGCCTGAGGTTTAAGTTATACCTCAACAAAATCATCAAAATTGGATCAATAAACAACATGCAAAGCCAAGGAAAGACTGAAATTGTCAAGGTTTTCATTTTTACTTGGACCCACAGTGTCCATGGCTACAGCAAAGAATCATCATGTACTGCAATGGGCAGAACGGCTGCAAAAGGCATCTAGGAAGCACTAAAAAGGGAAGCTGTCAAATGGAATCTCTATTTGCAACTTTTTGAGAAAGCTCCATACAGCCTTCCATAGTGGTTGCACCATTTTACACTCCCACCAACAGTGAATAAGGGTTCCAGTTTCTCTACAACCTCACCAGCATTTGTTGTTTGCTGTTCTGTTAAATTTTGCTATTCTGACTGGGGTGAGATAATATCTCATAGTTGTTCTGATTTGCATCTCCACTACTGGAAATAGACCCCAAAGAAACCATAACCGCCACGCAAGCAGACATATGCACATCCATGTTTATTGCAGCTTTGTTCACAATAGCAAAGAGCTGGAAACAACCTAAGTGCCCAACACAAATGAATGGATAGAGAAACTGTGGTATATTCACACAATGGAATACTACGCTGCATTGAAAAACAAAGAACTCATGAAATATTATACAAAATGGGTGACCCTGGAGGACATTATGCTGAGTGAAATATCTCAGTCACAAAAGGACAAATACTGCATAGTGCCACTGATGTAAAATGGCACTGACATTCGGGTTGGGGGGAGACTGAGAAAGATGGGATAAATAATGTATACTGCATTGAAACAGATGAGGGAGAAAACTGTTTAAAAGGGATATATGATTAGGTATTATTGTCATAACAGGAGTCCAGAATGAAGGCTGCATAGTGAAGTGGACCTGAGGGGAGGGATTATAAAACAAAATTTTTTTCTTTTACTTTTTAAAGAGAAGAGTGAACTAGGGGGGAGGGGTGGGCAAGGAGAAAAATGCAACAGTGAATGAATGGAAATCCAAAGTCTCTGTAAACTTTCATTAAAATTAATAATAAACTTAAAAAAAAAAGAAGGAAAAAAAAGGAAGCTATCACCATGGTGAACTTGACCCAAGCCATGATTTTTTTTTCAATGTTTTTATTGAGATTTTAACCAAACTGTATTTATTTCTATTTATTCACTGTTGCATATTTTCCTCCCTACCTCCTCACCAAGCCATGGTATTTTTAACTATCCAATATGTATGTAGAGAACTCTGGTGGCCTAGTGTTAAAAACCTGCTGCAATCCCAAAGGCACACAGCTCAAATCCACCAGCTCTCCTGTGTGATTAAACTGCCTATGAAAACCCGCTGGAGGGTCGGCTATGCGTCGGTTCTGACTCAACAATAAACAACAAGGTATGTGTATAGGGAGCTCAGGTGGTATGCTCTGTAGCAACTTGTGCTTAACCCAGAGGCTGAGCTTCTCAGGCAGTTGAAATTCATCAGCAGCTAGCTCCCTGGAAGAAAGATGGCCAGTCTCCTCTCATTTAGATCTACAGCCTCAGAAACCCAATAGAGGGTCAGAGTAAGTCAGAACAGACTCGATGATAGTGAGTGTGAGCTTGAATCTGCAAGTGAAAGCTTGGAGATGAGTAAGAAAGATCAAAAACAACTGAGGCATCTGAATTATGATGCTGGCAAAGATTATTTAAAATGATAGTCTTGGAAAAGTTGCAGCCATGCTGCTGCTCCTCACATACTTTGTCTCACAAACTTTGTGCATGTTGTTAGCAAAGGCCAGTCCTCAGAAAAGAACATCATGCTTGGAAAGATGGAGAGCAAGTGAAGGAGAGGATGACCCTCTTCAAGGAGGATTGATGCAGTGACGGTAATGGTGGGCTCAAGAGGGTCAGAGATGATGGGGATGGCACAGGACAGGGCGAGGTCCAGATCTATTTTCACAAGGTCACTAGGAGTCATAGGTGACTTGACAGCACAACAAAAGTATAACAGCCGAGATGGTAGAGAACATACAACTTCTGTCTTGGAGGAAGTACAGCTAGATTTCTCCTTAGAAGCGAGGATGTGAGACTTTATCTCACATACTTTAGACATGCTTCAAAAGGGACCACTGCTGGAGAATCCTTCTCATGTTTGGTAAAGTAGCAGGTCAGTAAAAAAGATGATGCGCCTCAGTGACAGGGACTGACACAGTCGCTGCAACATCAGCTACAATACAGCTGTGAGGACAGTGAAGGAGCAGGTAGTGTTCTATTGTACACAGAACTAAGGGTCAAGTAGACTCAAAGTCGGTGACTTAACAACAGTAATAAGTGGGACAGCACTCCTTTTTGCAAAGGAAGAAGAATGCCTCTAGGGGGTCACATGGCAACGAGGCCCCAGAGCTACAGCCCCATTCATGACCTGCTGGGGGACTGGTCCCATGGACCCACCATATGCCCTTACCTCTATCTGGTCAATGGTTTCCTGATATTCCTTCTCTCGGGTTTTGAACAGAGACTCTGTATCTTTAATCACCTTCTCCAAACTGTCTTCCTGTTGCTGGAGTAGAAAGGGAAATAAGGGCAGGCCAACCAGGGAGGGTGGGAAAGGGGACATATCACAAGGTCAAGGAGGAATAGGGGGAGTGGGGACAGAAACAAGTTAAAAGCAGCTGGAGAGAGAAAAGACAAAGGACAAAGATGGGAGCAGCAAGTCAAGGATGATGGCCACATAGAAGGATCAGTGCGAGGGGGGGGAGAGGAGGCGGAGGAGCAGAGCTGGAAAAATAGGTCTGGAGGGGCCCTGAGCCCAGGAGGGGTCATTACCTCTCCCTGGGCCTCTGCCGCTGCCATGGCATAGCCTGAGAAATCCTCCCACAGCAGCAGGGTCTCCTCAGTCTCCTCCCAAGTCAGGCTGTCACAGTCGTCCTCAAAATCATACTCCCTCCTAGAGACAGTGAACCCAGGTGTCAAGGGGGGGCAGGGCCTGGTCTCTGACAGAACAGCTAGGGAGCTCCGGCCTCGGGGGAGGGGTCTGGCTGCAGGGCTTCTGGGGACAGGCCTGTGGGACTCACAGCTGGTTGAGCATGCGCTGCATCTCCTCGTTGATGCTGAGGGCTGTGCTCTCCTCCTCATCCCCATCGGGCTGGCGGGGCCCGTCACTCTCCGACAGGGAGGGGTCCTCCTCGCTGACAGCCTTGCGCTCCCGCTTCCGCCCCCCCATGGTTGGGACCTTAATGGGAGACAAGTGCAGAGACTACAGAGACGAGGCCGGGTGCATGAGGAGAAAGGGCAGGTGGGGGAGGCCAGGAGCATGAGGAGAAAGGGCAGGTGGCGGGGTTGGAGGGAGACAGAGGGACAGGATGGGGGAAGCATGAACCAGCAGGAAGGGTGGGGCCGACAGAGAGAGAAGACACAGTTACCACGACAGAAACAGAAACATGGAGAGTTACCAAAGACAGACAGACAGACACAGGTGGGGACAAGGCTGCAGGCTGAGAAGGAAGAAAAAGAAAGAGAAAAAAACAGAGCAGTAAGATAAGGGGAGAGATGGCTTCTTATGGCCACATTAAGATGTGTATAATGGTGAATTAAAGACAGCTTTAGGTGGTGGTTTGTTTGTTTGGTTTTTTTTCCTAAAAGAAGTCTTTAAATGAAATGATAGAACTAAAAAGAAAGTTTTAGGCCTTCAAGGAAGAGATGCATACAGCGTTTGCAAAGGAGATCTTGAATCATATCCAGATCTGGAAAGCCAGAGGGAGAGGGGACAGGAAGAAATGAAGAAAAGAGAAAAAGAAAGAAAAGGGGAGAGAGTAGGGACAATAAGAAGGGAAGAAGAAATCAGTGCTGAAAAGTCCAGTGGGTCAAAACTGATAGCCAGATGGCCTGGGTAGTTTAGAAACTAGGGCTGGGACATTAAAAAGCTTGCATGAGATCAAAACTAACCAGCTTCTTCTGTGGAGAAAGCAAGAGAGATGAAAAGAAGAGAGAGGACAGGAAGCAGACAGAGGAGAGAGAGGGGAGGGAGAGATGGTGTTAGAGACAGGTTCCAAACCTCCAGCAGCTGCTCCTCACCCCCCAGCCTAGGCCCACCTGGGTCCCCAGCAGCCATAATCAGGCCCTCCCAGAAGGAGGAGGGCAGGACCTGCACCCCAGAGCAGCAGTGGTGATGTTTCTTCATCTGCTTAGCCCTCCTTAGGTGGAGGGTGCTAAGCCTCCAACTGACTCCAGCCAGGGGCCTGCAGGCCTGGGCCTCTCACCTGGAACATCTTGATCATATCCTCGCAGTTGCGCTGCTGAGCCACGTCACACAGTTTGGCAGTGATGTCAATCCGGCGGCAGATGTCCATGTCCACTTTCATGGCCTTCTCCTGGATCTTTGTGTCCAACTCGGACAAATTCTATCCAGAGAATATAAGGAAGGGTGAGGAGGCACTCACATTCCAGTCAGGATCTCCCTGCTCCTTCCAGCCACACGTCCCTGTCCTCTCCACGAAGGCTCTCAGTCCCTCAGAGAAGGGGGCCTCACTTCCATAACATCTTGCTCAGCTACTGGGTAGCCCTTGTAGCCATCAACTCCCTGGCCAGAGGGGAGCCCCAGAGGGCATGGTCTGGAGCTGAGGATGGACAGATGGCTGTGTAGGCACTCCCTAAAGCTGGTGCTGCAGGCTAAAGGAATCCTCACCTCCTGGGAATTTACATCCTCAGGGACAAAGAGAGACCACTGGGAATGACAGAATGAGGAAAGTATTGTGATGGTAATCATCATCATCACCACCTATCAGCACTTCACAGTCAATCTGCAAAGTAAATCCTTTGATTATCCACATTCTGCAGATGAGAATACCGAAGCACACAGAGGCCGAGGAATGTGCCCCCACAGAGAGCCAGCAGGACTGGGATTTGAACCTAGGCAGCCTCCAGCCTAGCTCCAGAATCTGTGCTTTTACTAGCCTCTTGACAACCTCTAGTCATGATAGAAGCTACACTGCCTCTCTGACACACCATCTGCTTCTTCTTTTTCTTGAATTAGTGGGTAGTAAAGGAAGAAGTTGGAAGGACAGCGAGGAGGAGGGTGGGAAGGGTGGGGCAGGAAACCAACAGGCCAAGACTGGCCCTGCCTGTCTTACTTATTTCAGGCAATACTCAAGGTCCCAGTGACCCCACAGTGGGGAAGGCTGCACTCACATTGCTCATGAGCCCCTTGAAGACCACAAGCTCAGCTTTCAGCTGCTCCACCTTCATCGCCAGCTCCTCCTGGCAGGCATCTGCCTCTTGGGCTTCCTATGATCAGGGTGGAAACCCTCACATCAGGGGCACTGCCATTCCAGAGAGGCAACGAAGACAGCCCCAGAGTTAGTGGGCAAGTAAGGACCGTGAGAAAGCACAAGTAGAGAGGGGGCCACCCTCACCTCCTGGAGCTCGCTCACTCGCTCCTGCAGCTGGATACGGACCGTGTACTCCTCTTCCCACCTGAGAGTCACAGGGAGAACAAGAGAACATGGGTACAGAGGCCTGCCCTGCCCCACAGCTTCCTGCTTCCCTCCTCTCCAACTAAGGAGTAAGCCTCCAGGTCTGCTTCCCTCCATGGAGACACTCCTGGGACTCCTGGACAGACCTATCGGTGGGCCAGCCAGTGCAGCTGCTTGGATTGGCCCTGGCCCACAGCACAACACTTCCTGGCAAGTGCCAAGCGAAGCAGCTGTCTTCCCGTAACCGCAGACCCCGCTTCAGGAACTATATTTAAGAGCAACTGCTGCAGCTCTGGACCCTTCCTGTGCACTTCCCACTTGGGCCCCAGCTCCAACCAGCTGACAAGCTCACCTCATTACCCTCTCCTACCCAGACCAGCAGGCCCACCCAACCCAGTCTCCCACCTTCAGTCGCACAGATCCGGTCTCCCGCCTCCTGCCCGCACCAGAACAGAGCTCCTCTAGCCTGTTGCCCTGTCTCCTGAGGTACCATTTAACCCTGTAAAAGCAGCTGCAGGACACAGACCGCAGCAACAGAGTTTGTCAAAAGCCCAGGAAGAGATGTTCATCCCCACACACTCCAGAAACTTCCCATCTATCCAGAACCCCCAAGTGAGTCAAAAAGAGGTAGCAAAGCTGGCCTAGAGCAAGAAAGCCCCAGGAGCACTAAAGCAGTAGACAGCAGGAGCCTGGCATCTCTGAGCATCCAAACCCAGGGGTGCTCCATGGGTCCTGAACCAGGAAAGGGCTATGACAGTATGACAAGGTGCCTCAATAACACAGAAGATGAGAATAAGAGACAGCCTTTCCTGAGGTTTCTGGGACCTGAAACAGAGAGATCAAGAATTTAACAAATAGGTCAGCAGCTCTTGGCCCCAGGGCAGGGCCAGCAGGCTCGATTCTCCTGTACTACAGTCCACAGTAAAACTCAAAACCCCACTGTCATTGAATCGATTCTGACTCGAAGTGACCCTGTAGGACAGAATACAACTGACCAAACAGAATTTCGAAGACTATAAATCTATATGGAAGAAAACTGTCTCACCTTTCTACCTCAGAGTTGTTGGTAAGTTCAAACTGTCAACCTTTTGGTTAGCAGTCAACTGTTTTAACCACTGTGCCAATGAGGGCTCCAATCCATAGTCTGCCAGTGTATGTTTTATGACATTACAGAGACAGACGGGGGGACTGCAATGCCACTGCTACAGACTAGGCCTTGTCATGTCACAACCCTACAAAGTTAGCTTCGACAAGAGACCTTCTCATACCCAACTCATTACTCCGGCCATGTTCTGCAAACTGGTCTGAGAAAGGAAGGACATTGTACCGAGAGAAGCTTCAATATAAGAAAGGTGTTTGGGAAGCAGGGAGGAAGACAGCAAGAAAATGAAAAACCAAGAAAACAGGTTCTTTGCACTCAGCATGAAATCCTTCTCTCCCTTTCCCTCCATGTTTCCCTATCTCATCCTCTCCTCTTTTCTGGGGCCACTCCCTCTGGTCCTGTCTCTCTCTGCTCTGCTGGGCTCCTCACCGCATCCGCACTGCAGTATTCCTAATAATAACTCCTCCACTTCACCTTGGCTGCCCCTCCCTCTCTGGCAGGGAGGGGAGGGGAGGTGGCCCAACAACTGCCCTGCTGGCTTGTCCTGCAGGCCGGCTCCCTGTCTTCCTCACCCCCTGCACACCTTCTTCTGCTGATCCTCATGTTCTCCTCCCTTCTGCACTGGAATTCTCCTCCAGATGGTCAAGACCCATGAAGGGTCCCTTAGACACAAAACTGTTTTATCTTTTCTGAAGCTGGGTTTCTTCCCCCTCTAAATGAATGTCTGGGATGCTGTACCCACAAGCCCCCCTGGAGTCTGTGTGTCTCTGGATAAAGGAAGCAAGGCGATGGATGACTCTTGACAAGATGAGAAAAACGGTCTTCAATGAGCTCAACAGAATCAGGTGAAAATGTACATAAGGAAGTTAGAAGACTACAATTAAAAGAATTTATAGGTAAAAATCTGAAAATAAGCATTCTGGAAGCGGAAGAGAATTCTATTTGCTCTCTAGCCAGACTTTGGCACAGCAGATCCATTTGGATCTCTACTAATATCTGGTCTAATAAGATGTCTTCCAAAAAAAATGTCTTCCACATGGGCAGGGTTTGACAGAGGCTCTGTCTACATATTCCATGTATTCTGCATTCACCAAGTAGCTCTTTTCTAAGTAAACTGTACTGCTGAATTAAAGAGAGCAGGGACTATTCCTATATTAGAAAAACTGAAGCCCAGGAAGAAAAGCCTCACCCCACATCACAAGGCAAAGAAGCTGAAAATAGAACCCAGGAGGCCGCAGCCCCTTCCTAGTCTAGTTGTTTTAGTGATCTCCATGCCTTCCAAGCTAAAGACAGGAAGGAGGATGGCGTTGCTATAAAGAGAACAGAAAGAGGAAAGGGCATCTGGGTTGGAAGCCTGAGTAAGTGCCCGGATCACATACCACACGGTTCCAGCTCCAGGGCCCTCCACACAGCAGCATGCTGCAGAGTGATGAGCTCATCAGCCCCACCACTACCCGACGAATAACTCTACCGCCCTGGACAGCTGGGCCATGGACAAACACTCTTTCAGCTTCAGAAAAAAAAAAGAGAGAGAACAGCAGCTGTTCCTGTGGCTAGGGGTGTATTTCTGAACTGTTCATGTTTCACTGCTGAGTTTATTTCATTCACTTCTAAAGAGGCAGCCTAGTTCTACAGTGGGACATAGATAATGGTTCCAAGACAACTGAGACACTGCCCCCCCAACGCCCTCCCACCCTACCCCACCCCACAAGAACACTTATGGAGCCCTTGTGGCACAGTGGTTAAGCACTCAGCTGCTAACCAAAATGTCAGTGGTTCAAACCTAACAAGTACTCTGTAGAAGATGTGGCATTATTGCTGTAGAGATTTATAACCATGGAAATGCAACAGAGTAGTTGTACTCTGTCTTACAGGTTCACTATTAGTTGGAATTTGGGTTCAACAGCAGTGAGCTTGATTTGGAATTTGGGTAATGACTGATCATGGATAACGAAAGAAGCCAGCCATGGCAACAGGCCTCAACTTCCAAAAGCCTTCTGATCTTTGAAGTGACAGATTTACACAGATTATAGATCCCTGTAAGTTTTGCCCCTGTACTCAGCAATCATTTTCCAGAACATTCCCCCACCCAGTCAGATACCAATCTCCACTACACAGGGCTGCAGAGGCAGTTCCCAGGCCTACCACAAGGGGTCACAGCAACTGACCTGAACGACTACCTGGGTTAAATGTGAATGTTCCAAACCAAAAACCTCTATCACTCTCCTCAGTAACCGGGGTGCTGGCTGTGCACACGGCTGGCTGTAACAGCCTGTTCTCAGCGTGCACTTGGTACACAGCCACCACTCTGACATCACATCTATGCCCCTCACGCTCTGCACCACCCCACTGGCTTCCCCTGAAAAAGTGGAACCTTCATCTTCAGAGTATGCTGGGCCTGCCCCCAGATGCCTTACTAAACTCACAATGTGTGTCCATAATTCAAACTTCATCCTGAGCTCAGTCCCTTTAACTCTCTGTTCCCACTCTTTTGACTTAAAAACAAATATGTTCAGGTCTCCAGAGCCTTTCACGTGGGGCCAGAGTGGGGACCCAATGCCTACTGGCAGTGCTGTGGGAAATTCTGGGCTGTGGCAGGCCCACCCTCTCTGTAAGGTCAAGTCCCTAACTTCACCACTCGCTCCCAGTGTTATTTAATTGAGTCTTCCAAATTAAAATCACATCTTTTGCCTCTTAATTTTTGGTCAGTGTGTGGAACTTATACCCCAAATTGCTCCACCACATCTGACTGGAGAGAATAAAGAGTTCCCGAAACAGCATCTCAGACTGTGTCCCCTTCATAGAATCCCACAGTGAACACAGTCATCAACACTGCAGCCTCAATGAGACGGAAATCAAGACCAGCTCAAAGACAGACACATCCCACAGTATTATGCTTCTGACATCCTTCTTGCTGTCATCCTCTACGCATCCAACTCCATCTACTTCCAAGCCCCTCATTCTATCCTAGCATCAACTTTAATCTCAGTTCGTTCATCCTTGATCCCTGGGCCCCTTCTGAACCCACACCATGCCTCTGTCCTATGTGACAAGACACTGGCCCCTATCTCCACTTGGTGAGCTGTTGCCATGGTCTCCCCCAACCCTACCCTTGACCCCATAGTCTTTCCCCTCCGGGCCCTAATCCCTACCTCCGTTTGTACTCGTCCCGTTCCCGCTTCACTTTGGCCAGCACGTTGTAAAGGGCGCGGATCTCCGGGGTGATGGTATCTATCTGCACGCCCACCCCGTCAGGGTGCACCCACGACAGGCCAGGGCCTTGCACCAAGGTGGGCTCTCGTCCGGGCCCGAGCCGGCGGGCGTGGGAGAAGGACCAGATGGTGCCGGGCATGAAGCGGGCGGACGGGGAGTAGGCGGTGGAGGTGGCGGTGGAGGCGGCGGCGGTGGTGGCGGAGGCGAGAGCCGCAGAGGACGACACTTGGCCGGCTACAGACGGTGTGAGCGGGCCGGCGGGCGAGCGGGCGGGCGAGCCCAGCACCCGCGCCGACGGGGTGCAGACGGCGGCGGGCCGGGCGCCCAGGGGCAGCCCCAGCGGCCGGATGGGGCTGACGAAGCCGGTCTGCACAGCCTGGTCGCGGCGCCCCAGACCCCGCCGGCCCTGCTTACCCTCCTCCAGCGCCTGCTGCAGCTGCTTCTCCAGCAGGCGGTTCCGGCGCTCCAGCTCGTGCACCTTGGCCAGGAAGCAGCGGAAGCGCAGGTTGAGGGTCTTGAGCACGTTGATGTTGGAGCCCAGGTCGTTGCGGAGAGCCATGGCGGCGGGGGGCGCTGCTCCTGGCCCGGGCGGCGAGTAGGCAGCGGGGCCGACCGGAGCTGGAACCAAGTCCCCTCCCCCCGGGAAGTGGTCGCCTCCCAGAGGATCCCCCAGCGGCCCGGGAAGGCCTTGCTGCTCCTGCTGTAGGAGGAAAAGGTTGGGGCCGAATAACGGATTCATGGCTGCGCCTTCTGCTGGGAGATGGAAACCGGTGCAGGAGCAGGATGGAGGGCTAGACAGAAGAGCCAATGAGGCGGCGGGGGAACAAGGGACAACCAATCAGATGGCTCGGCAAGAAGGGCAGAGGTCAGAGAGGTGGGGAGGGCATGGAGGGAGCCAATGAGAAGCCCTAACCGGAGCCTGGGACTCGTACCTTTCCGGGTGTGAGGATGAACCAAGGGTGGAAGAGCCCCAAAGAGCACCCCACCCCACCCAACCCCGCAGACCAACTGCAGGCATTCGGACGGGACAGGAAGCCCACCCTACTCACATCCCATATTACCCTTCTTTTCACAGAGCTTTTAATTCTCCTTCCTTCCTGAGGTCCCTAAGGAAACAATCTAATAATCCATTAATACAAACTTTTTTCTCCTCAGAAGATCCCAGCCCTAAAGTAACAGAACCTTCCACCCCCAAAAACCACACAGTGATCGGAGGTTGCAATTGTGTATTAAATTTCACATATATACAGTGGGGAAACCATCCTCTCAGAGTTAAGAGCATCCTCTCAGAGGTAAGAGCTCCAACCCAGTACAGCAATGAGTCACTCCAGTCTTTTCAACTGTTCGTCTAAGACTGGTTGCCTCCGGACTGAGATTTCCTCCTCTTTGCTGGTGGGGGCCGGCTGGGACTGAGGGAGGACGCAGTGGGAGTCTGAGAGCCCTTGGGGGTGCCATTCTGTTTTCCGAAGGCAGCTTTCTTGAAAGGTTGTTTTGGCGACTTCTGTTTGAAGTTCTCAGTCCCTGTGGCCTTTCCAAGAGGCTGGCCCTGGTTCTCAGATTTGGGGATGGTCCAGGTCTTAGAAAGGGATGGCACAACAGGGGTCTCTGGGTCTGTGCTGTTGAGAGGGACATTCTGCTTCAGGAGAACAGCTTTCTTGCGAGCCTTCAGTTTAGGTGATCGTTGCTCTAGCTTCCCATTTGCCTCCAGTTCCCTGATGACATCAGCTTTCTGAGCTGCTTGGCTGCTATCCTGGGGTTTGGAGGATACTTGCACCTTTGTGACAGATGGTACAGTGGACATTTCTGAGTCTGTCCTTTTGGGAATGCCATTCTGCTTCTGAAAAGAGGCCTTCTGAGGATGATTCTGTTTCGGCAGCTTCTGCTTAGACTTCTCAGTTCCTCTGGAGTTCTTGGTTTGCTGGCTGCTGTTCTCAGGTTCAAGGGTGACTTGACCTTTTAGGTCAGGTAAATCTAGGTTTGTAGGGGTAGCTGTTGCAGAGTTTCCTACAATTAACATTAAACAAATAGCATGAAAAATGGGCCTCATTGTTAGTGGAAATAAAAAGAATGAAAAGAGAAGAACTTCCTGGTCAATGTTCCTTAACCAAATGTTCTACGTAAATATGTCTGCGCCTAAGAGATTGCCTGTATCCTTATCACTTAATATCACCTGGCCTTTACTCAAATCTTATTTGAACAGATCAACCTTGTTGAGAAGGATCATTATCCATCAAGGCCAAAAAGTTTCAAGAAGCAGCTGCGCCCCCTTGAGGACAGCAGATAACAACAGGGAGGCAAATAAACCTAGAGCACTGGGTTTTATTTTAAACCAAGGAAGACTTTAACATGAATTTCAACAGGATACAGAAAACTAAGATGACCTACAGCAAACAAGTAAGACAAATGGAAACAACTGGAGAAAAAATAGCAAGATAAATGAAGACTGACATACTATCAGATGTGACTCTCATAGGGGGCATTATTCAATACATAAAAATCAACTTACTAAACTATGTAATTTGTATTTAGAAGCTTTCCTCTCTCTGCTCCAACTAAACACTGGGATTGTATTACAGCAAGTGGAACTCAGGCTTGTTTTTGAAAACCCCACCCTTCCCCTAGAGATCCCGGCTAGGCTCCTCAAGATGGCTAAAAAATGATCTGCAGTAAGTGTGAAGGACTCTGAGGAGTTCTGAGGAGCACAGTGCCAACCAAATCCAAAGAATGCTGCAACAGCAGAAGATATTACCACTAAGCCAATGCTGGGCCGGGAAATAAAATAAACCACAGCCATAAACTGGAATGCCTTTTATGCTGAACAACTGCAACCACTTGGTAGAACAAAAGGCCCACCTATTCATAACAACACTTAACTCCAGTGAGTCCAGGGCTCAGGAACAATTGTAGCTGGATGAAAGAGTACATACCTGTCTGAGACTGGGGGATAGAATTGGAGAACTTCTTGAACTTAGCAATGAAGAAACCATCCATATTGTGGGTATGAGGGTAGAAGCGGCGTGTGGAACGCAGACTAGGGTGGAAGCGCCTTTCTCGAAAGCGGGTAAAACCTTCCTGACCGAATTCCAGACCCGTAGGTACCAGCCGCACATTCCTCTTTTTCAAAGCATAGTCTACCACCCACTCATTCTCTTCCACCTGGATTATGGAAGGGAAGAAAGCAAAATTACAACTGAAGAGACTCTAAGGGGAAGCCCACCTCTCAACCAGTCCTCCTATGGCAGAGGTCTCACCATGATGGAACAGGTGCAGTAGACAATGTAGCCTCCTGTCTTGGAAGTGGCATTGACAGAGTCAATAGCACTTAGGAGCAACTCCTTCTGAAGGTGAGCACAGCGATGGATGTCCTTCTCATCCTGTCCCAAGGAGAAATTCAGGGGTGTCAGAATCCCAAAAAGTAGTCTCAGGAGAGAGGTGAACTGCTGACTACCCTGAATGCTCCTCTACTTCACATTCCTGCTCTACAAGGCCCAGCCAAGGCCTCTGCATGGTCCCACCACCCAGCTCTTCACCTTGTTCGTCTTCACAGCTGGGTCCTTGGAGATGACCCCAGTGCCACTGCAGGGAGCATCCAGCAGTACCCGGTCAAAGCCCCCGACCACCTGGGGAACGATAATAAGTTAATTAGATGTTTTCTGCAACCTATGAACATCAATCATTTCCGAGAAGCAGGTAAAGTCTCGAGAGGGACACACAGAGGTGCAGGTTCAAATCTTACTTTAGGGAACTGACGCCCATCATAGTGACTGATGACAGCATTGGTGACTCCCAATCGATGCAAGTTTCCCACAACACTCTTTAGTCTCTCAGCATTAGCATCATTGGCAAGGATCACGCCTGTGTTCTTCATCAGCTGAGCTAGAGGGAGGACAAAAGCCACATTACTCCACTAGTTCTCCTGCCTCCTTACTAACACACATTCCAACCCAGAACTCCACAGGTGAAATCTCCCCACTTCAAGGTAAACCTTTACCCCCATTAAGCCCCACTCCTCAAATGAGGGTTACTGAGTGCAGGTTTACCCAGATCACATTGGCCCCCTAGTGATAAGCAAGCTGCCCAAGTGACTTCACCATTTTTAATGAGCCTCTCTTGCACTGCAGATGACACTGCTCTCTTAAGTAGTCACAGATTAATAAAATGACTAAAACTGCTTAGTATGCACTGAGCACTATGCCAAAAACTTTTAAATGTATTACCTCAAGCTTGAGGTCCTTGCTTGCAGTCTTATGGACAGAGAACTGGGATTTGCATCAAGCAGAGCTCTGCAATACACTTCTCATCTCTCCACTTTCAAAAGCAAATCCAGAAGAATCCCCTGCCCTTCTCATACCTATGTAACTGGTCTTTCCTCCAGGAGCACAGCACATGTCCAGGATCCGTTCATGTTCCTGAGGTGCTAAGGCCATGACTGGTAACATGCTGGAGGCTCCCTGCAGCATGTAGTGCCCAGCCAGGTACTCGGGAGTTGCACCTGTGGAGAATGACCCACCTGTGATAACCTGACACAGGTACTAGGTCAGGAGGACTAAAGTAGGGGGACACTTACCAATGGGCACTGAAGAATCATATACCACCAGTCCAGTCTTTGACCACTTGCCCAAGGGATCCAGGTTAACTCCACGATTGATTAAAGCCTGAAGATTAGAAAGATGAACAATTTGAATTTTCACAAGCTGCTAGGCTCAGAATGAGAAAATACAGTCCTAGCAGCAGGACTGAAACACAACTCCCAGAAAGCTTACTCAGAACACAATCATTCCAGACTCAACCAGTTTCTTCACTCCACTCCAATCCATCCTAATCCCTTTTTCTTAAGCTCAGGGTTCTAATTCAGGGTCTTAACTCTTTGAAAACAGGCCGACTCAGTTCCTTTCCTTTTCCCTGGATGTGATCTCTGCTTGTTCAAGAGACAGCCCTCTAAATGTAATGATAATGGTTAAAAGCGTATCATCTTCGTATCAGGAAATACACAAGAAAGGACACTAACAGCATTAGAACAGAGATCTTTAACCTGGAGAACCAAACTCCTTGAAAAAATAAGCTTAGAACACTGTCAGTATGTCTATTTTTCTAGGGGAGGGGAATCACAGCTTTCTCTGTAAACCTTGTTAAAATCTCAATAAAGGGGAAAAAAATAAACCCCAAAATCACAGCTTTCACCAGCTTCTCAATGACAATTCCTTCCAGTTTCTTTGAGGCTGCCTAGTCACAGGGACAAAGAGGCTGGAGGGATGGGGTTTCCCATGCCAGAGAGGCCCTAAGCCATAGGCCATTCTGGGCATGTCCCCTGTAATCATGCTTTATCAAAAAATGCTTAGGTAGTAAGATTCCATCTAGTCAGGAAGGTGGTGGTGGTAGGTGCTGTCGAGTACAACTCATAGTGACCCTATGCACAGAGGATCTGAACCTCATCCTATCCTGAGCCATCCTCATATTTCCTGACACACTAGAGCCAGCCTACTGCGACAGTCACTGTGTCAATCCACCTGCTCAAAGCTCTTCCTCTCCTTCATCAACCCTCCATTCTTCCCAGCAGCATGTCCCCTCTCCAAAGAATAGCCTCTCCCAGCAACATGCCCAAAGTATGTGAGGCAAAGCCTCACCATCCTCCAGCTGCACCCTCTCCAAGATATATCTTTTAGCCGTCCATGAGATGTTCTCCAACACCACAGCTCAAAGGCATCAATTCTTCTTTTGTCATCCCAACTTACTGTCCAGCTCTTACAGGTGTAACAGGTGACTGGAAAACCACGGCCTTAGTCCTCAAACTGACATCATTCATTAAGCCTCAGTAATTTGGAGATGTCCCTAACTGCAGGCTTTCCCAATGCAATAGATCTCCTGATTTCCTGACTGGTGGTACCAAAGGTGTTAACTATGCATTCAAGAAGGATGAAGTTGTTGACAGTTTCAATCTCTTCTCTATTGCCCATCACACTGTTGCCCATCGCTCCAGTGTTAAGAATCTTTGTTTTCTTGACACTGACATACAAACCATACTGAAGGTTGCATTTCTCAATCTTCTGCAACAAGTGTTTCAAGGCCTACTCACTTTCAGCAAGCAAGGTTGTATCATCTGTGTAACACAGGTTATTGATGAATTTCCCTCCAATCCTGTTGCCACATTCCTTTTCATAGAGTCCAGCTACTCGAATAATCTGCTCAGCATACAGGTTGACTAGGTATGGAGAGCAAATTAACCCTGATGTACTGACTCAGGATAGGTAGGAATGTTGTTGTTGTTGATTGCTTTCAAGTCAAGCACAACTCATAGCAACCCTCCTGAAGCCCCTCTACAACTATCGACATTTATCAAAGTTCATAGTTTCTGGAGGCATGTTATTTAGGAAGTGGATGCCACTGCTTCTTCCAGACCTTTATAGTCTATTATTGTTGTTATATGCCATTGAGTCACCTGCGATGTATAGTGATCTCATGTACAGAAGCTCTGAACCCTACCCTGTCCTGAGCCAGTCTCACTAATTCCATCACACCAACCCTCATTGCCCCAGTTACTGTATCGATCTATCTCATCCGGGGTCTCCCTCTCCTGCACTGTCTGTGTACTCTTCTGAGCGTGATGTCCTTCTTCAAGGACCGATCTCTCCTGGCCACATGCCCAGAGTAAGTGAGGCAGAGCTTCAAAATCCTAGCCTCAAGGAGAGACGCTCTCCAAGACAGACCTATTTGTTTTCTTGACAGTCCATAGTATGTTCAAGACTTTTCTTCAGCACCACAACTTGAAGGTATCTATTCTTCTGTCATTCTTAGTCATTGTCCAACTCTCTGAAGCATAACAAACTAGATTAAGCACACCTTAGGCTCTGGACTGGCATTGTTGCTTTTCAGCACTCTAGAGAGGTCCAAGACAGCAGATTTTCCCAATGCAATCAGTCTTTTGATTTTCTGACTGCTGGTGTTAAGAGTGTTGATTGTGGAGCCAAGCAAGCTGTAATTGCTAACAACCACAATCTCTCCTCCACCTAACATGATGGATAGGAATACAACCTCAAAACCCACCCTTTACCTGAGCAAGGTCTCGACGCCGGGTTTTCAAGGTATTGGTTCGCAGGGTGATGGGCCGAGGCACTTCATTAGCTTCTAAAAACTCTAAAAGCTGGCAAGGCAAGACAAGGCATAGAACAAGGTCAATCAGAAGGGAAGAGAATAAGGTAGCTAGCTGTCTGCCTTCCACAAAGAAAGGAGAGATGACAAAAGCAAACCAGAAGAGAGGTAGGCTGGCAATACACTACCTCAGACAGAGGGAAGAGGTCCATGAGCTTGCCAAGCAGGAAGTCTCCATAGGAGTAGTAAGTGGCCAGATCCTTCTGAAGCCGGCTCAGATACTCAGAACGAGATCGACCTTCCTCCCTCTGAGTGCCAAAATCGCGCAGCACTCCCACTATATCTTGGATCCGCTTGTGCACTCGTTGCAGGTTTGGAGCCTGGGAACGTAAGCTTGTTAAGGAACTACTTTATGCTGCTCAAGCTGAGAATTGCCCTCCAAAATACCTTAGTGGTAGCGTTGTGCCACCAAACCAGAAGCAGACAGAATCGACCACCTGCTCCAAGAGCAAAAGATGAGCCATCTCCTCCCGCATAATTAGTAGCCTCTGAAAGCCACCTGAACGGTCATCTGGTTCGGTTTCAATTCGACGGCACATCACCTAAACAATGTCCCTTTACCCTGCCATGAAAGGATATTTTCATTTTCGCCAGCAGACGGAAGCACAAATCGCTCCTCCTCATCCACATTGATCTGTAGGCCTCCATCCATCTCATCATCAGCCTTTCTGGAACCTATCTCTGAAGACGCCTTGTCTTCTTCTTCCTCCTCTTCCTCCTCCTCAGAATCCTCCTCACTCCATTGGTCCCTGAAACTATATCCACAAACAGATGACACACAGACAAAACAAACTCCTCCTTCAATCCTCACAGCTTCCCCATCTCAGCAGCTACTCATCTTCACTTTTCATCCTCAATGTACAAAACTCACCCAGCATCGGCTTCCCGAGCCTTCTGCTTCTGAGCAGCTTTTTCAATGGGCAGCAACTGAAAAGCAATAAAAACGGCTGGTCATCAAGTCAATTCCAACTTACGAGAGACTCAGGTTTATCACTGTAGACCTCTGCACCACTCATTTCTCAGAAGTAAATTATTAAGCCTTTCTTTACAGGTATACAGAATCATACACCTTTTGGTTAGTAGAGAACTACATTAACCTTTTGCACCAGAAGAGATACAAAAATTAGGGGCTGGTAACATAAAACCTACCTACATGCAACCTTCATGGGATACTTTCTATCCTTGCATTTTGTTATTTTATAGATACAAATGTAACACTAGCTCTGAAGGGAAATGACACTGAAAAAATATGAAGGGTAACACTAAGGAAACATTTAAGTTAACAGATAATTTTACGAAAGTCACTGTACTGTTCAACCTGCATGTTTACTTTCCTCTTCCATTAACAAAAAGCTTAAAACATATAAATACACACTGTTTGTATGCAGGGGAAAAAAATGTCCTTGGATATCCACTTTATTCTGTTTTCTAGACTTCTATAAATTTTTCATGTGGTTAAAAATCAATACAAATTTCTTGATATTTTTCATTCACAGATCATAATCATTTTCATAAACTATGATAGCAGTAAAATTCTTCAAAACACGAGCCACTTATTTAAATATAGTAGGTGCTTAGCAGTTTTTTTATATATTGGGTATCACGGCAATATGAAAAAGCTCTGGTTGCTTACACTCTACCAGCTGCTCTCCAGAAGAAATATGGACAATCTCCTCCCACACAATTTATTGCCTCTGAAAACCAGCTAGAAGGTCAGCTAGGAGTTGGGCCTGACTCAAAGGTACTTAATAACATGAAAGTACTGAACCGCGAGGATCAATCTGAAGACTAATTATGCCTGACCTAACCCACAATATTTTCAGCTGCTATCTGAATGTTGTGCAATGAATAAGGATGACAGAAGAAATGATGCTCTTGAACTGTGGCAGCAGCGAAGAGTACAGAATATCCCATGGTCTGACAAAATAACAAACAGATCTATCTTGGAGGAAGTGCTACCAGAGTGCTCCATAGAGAAAGGATGGTGAAACTTCATCTCATACTTTAGGCATGTTGTCGGGGGGGGGGGCCTTGGAAAATATTATCAAGCTACAAAAGGTTGAGGATCAAAGAAAGACTTTCACCTCTTGATTGAATGATACGATGACTATAATAATTGTCTCAAGATGCTTCAACGATTTAGACCCTCCCAGAAGAGCTGTGGTTGAGCATTAACATTACTGGTAAGTATAGTCATTTTCTCCTGGACACAGAGCCTACTAATTGGTCCTAAAAGCCTTCTGAGGTCCCAACTCTTCTATTCCTTAATTGTTGGAATGGACAGAAAACCTCATAAGCAGTTCCTTACTTCACCTCTACCTTGCATTCTAACTTCCAAGTTGTAAAACAACCCAGTAGTAAATGGAATTTCCTCCAGGACTTGAGAACCATAAATGACATAGCTGAGCCTCTACATCTTGTGGTTCCTAATCTCTACACTATAATAGACAAAGTGCTAGTCTATAGGCCTTTTATTGTAAGAACCACCTTCCCTCTGTAACTTGATTTGTGCCACTATTAGAACCTCTACTCGGAATATTGTTGCTTTTTAATTCTTGACTCATGTACTTTTAACTTGTTAGTTAAATTTGTATCTTCTAGACTGCAAAACTTCCATGATACATCTTCAAGGATATGAACATGTACGGCTAAGCACAACTGATAACAGTGCATCTAAATTCCAAAATCAATCTCCATAATAGTCTATGTGTTTCCTACTGCCAAAGGGGCCCTTTAGAGTAGTGAGAGAAGATCTTCACCCTGGAACCCACAGTGTCACTTTTCAGCAGGAAGTAGCTAAGAGAATATGCCATCCCCTTTTCCTTATGAATCAGGGTGAAGTCTCTCTCAGGAAGGAGAGATAGGGAATGGCAAAGGACACACTGACAAAAGAGATTAATCAGAACTGGCTTCGACAAGCACTGTGGCAATTGGACAATTAAAACAAACATGGGGGGGGGAAGAAGAACGAACTGGGGAGGAGGGTAGAGAAAAGAGTGCAACAATGAATGAATGAAAACCCAAAATCTCTGTAAATGTTCACTAAAACTAATAAAATTTAATAATAATTTTAAAAAAAATTGTCTCAAGCAAGCCAGAGATCTTAAAGAGAGTGAGGGATAAGGCAAAGCTCAGATCTGTTATATTCAGAGGGTCATTATGAGTCATAGTTGACTGGATGAAACTACAACAGAGTAGTTTCCAGGGTTTGTTTTTTTATAAATTTTTTAAATTTCATTCTATTATTTTTGCGTGTGCATGTGTGTACCATCAAATTAGATCTGACTGGTACAGGAGATTGTTTTTCCTTCCCCAACAAAGCATCTGGTGAATTCAAACTGCGTACCTCTGGTATTGCAGTGTAGCTTCTTGCCACTAAGCTACCAGAGCTCCCTAGCTTCCAGATTTGGGGACACCATTATCCACATGCTATGACCCGATTCCCAGCTGACCCTCCAAAACTGTACAGGTGACTATTCATCATTCTCCTGAAGAGCTACTGGTGAATTCAGACTGCCAGAGACTCAGTCTTTGGGTAAGCAGATCAACTCTCTATGGACACCACCACCAAAGCAACAAACAGAGCCTACCAAACTCTCAGAAGTTAACTACAGAGAGAAAGAGGTTGTGTGGCAGGGTGTTATGGGGGCTTTCTTTATGGACATACACACACATATATATATATCATACATATAATTACATATTATATATAATTATATATAGAGAGATAAATATACACATATAGATATATTGATGTAGATAATAGATAGTTTGAATTTCCCTAATGTATGCTACGTAATAAATTCTTGCACTTCAGCAAATAAATCTTTTCTCATAAGGTGCATCTGATACAGGCCATGGTCTTTGCAATCACGAGTTATGCGTCAGAGAGTTGGACAATGACCAAGGAGGATAGAAGGAGAACTGATGCCTTTGAGCTGTGGTGCTGGAGAAGAGTACTGACTGCCAAGAAAACAGATTCATCCTGGAGAGGGTTAAACCAGGCTACTCCTTGGAGGCAAGGATTCTGGGGCTTCATCTGACATACTTTGGACATGTCATAAGGAGGGACAGGTCCTTGGAGAGGGACATCATACTTGGGAGGGTGGAGGGACAGTGCAGGAGGGGAAGACCCTCTATGAGGTGGATTGATTCTGTGACTAGGGAAATCGGGATGGGTGTGTCAGAGGCAGTGCGATTGGCACAGGACAGAGCAGGGATTAGAGCTGTTGTACATAGGGTCACTATGAGTCGCAAGCGACTTGAGGGCACACAACAACAACAACATATTTTCAATTACCTTCCCAAATAGGGAATTACTAGGTCAAAAGAAACTGTTTGCAATCCCAGAGGTACACGGTTCAAAGCCACCAGATGCTCTGCTGGAGAAGGAGGGGGCAATCTCCTCCTGAACCAGTCAGATGTGATATGACGGTAATGTAAAAATAATACAATAAAAAAAGTTTTTAAAATAAAAGATAAGAAGCTGTTGTCACACAAGAAATACTATATAGTTTTTGGTTGGTTTTTTCCTGTTTGTTTTAAATACTATATAGTTTTAAAAGCATGTTATCTCCACTGCCATCACAGAAACCTATCAGTGTCTACCCTATCACTTTACATCATCACTGGCATTGCTGTATTCTACAGGTGAGAGGTGACATAAGGCAGGTGAAAAGCACTAATGGAGTACTAACTTCTTTACCTCTGTCACTAAGAGATAGGCTCAAGAATACAGAAAAAATTGTTTAACATCCACCGAATCTCACCTCTTCATCCTCGTCCCCCTCCTCAGAGTTAGAATCTGCTCCATAGTCATCTACCATGTCAGCATCACTGTCTTCAGAGCCCCAGAGGTCCCCGTGGTTCACCACTCCATCTTCTTCAGAATCTTCATCCTCCTCCTCATCACTGCTGGGCGATGGTGCTGGGCGCTTCCTACCTTGTGCTGCATTATATAAAGGTGGGGCCCCCTTCTTACCAGGTGCCTGGACAGTTTCTGTAGAAAAAACATCTTAAGAGTTTGAAGAGTCCTGGACAGATGGCAGCCCCATACTCCTAGATAATAAAGACTTTTCACTTTTTTTTTTTTTTTTTTTTTTATTTTATTATTTTCTGTACCGTCAAATCGGATCTGACTGGTAAAGGAGGAGATGGCCCCTCCTTCTCCGGCAGAGCATCTGGTGGATTCAAACCGCCTATCTCTGGGATTGCAGTGCAACTTCTTGCCACTAGGCCACCAGAGGTCCCCAGACTTTTCACTCTTGAAAAATGTACTGTGGCTGTTCCTTTCACCCTAAATGTGAGCAAGACCTTCCCTACCCAGAACTCAAACAGGACTCTCTTTATTTTCACTGACCTTCTAATAGCTTTCCAGGCAATGGTTTATCCCCAGGAGACTTGTGCAATTTAGGGTCTTCAGCAGAACCCAACCTCCTTTTGGCTGCCCTGAAAAAGATACCTGGTGTTAAGAAAAGGATAAATATCTCCAGGTTCTGCTATATCCCATCTAAAACGAGCCTTCTCCATCACTTAACCACATGGCTCAGGATATGCATACCAATTTCATCTCTTTAAGCTGAACACCTACACTCACCTTTTTCTAGCCCTACTAGACAGCCTCTTGGAATTTTCACCACCATCTGGTTAAAAAAAAAAAAAGAAGAAAAATATTTATAGGAGAAATAAAAAAGTAGAAAGTAAAGACAAAAATACAACCAGTATATGAGTTAAAAAGACTAGATTAGAACTCAATTAATACTTAGCCAACTCCAAACTGGATATCCCTGCAGATTTCAGGATTTGATAAAAGGCATCAACATTCTGATTATCAGCTTGGATTCAAAGGCTGTTTTCTTCCTGTACTTTCCTTCAACCAGTTATCAACAGTCCTGTATTTCACCTTCACCACTCCTGCTTTTTAAATCTCAAATCTGTCATTTAATAACTGCACAAGTTACAAAGCCTCTTAGTTTCTATTTCTTCACTTGTAAATAAAAACTATAGTCCTTCCTTACTCTTGGAACCAGCAGCCAGGAAATCAAAAGACAAACTGCACAATGACTAAGGATGATAGAAGAATTGATGCCTTTGAGCTATGGTGCTGGAGTACTGAATATTCCATGGACAGCTAGGAGAACAAACAAGCCTATCCTGAAGAGGGTGAAACCAAACTACTCCTTGGAGGCAAAGATTTTGAAACTGTCTGACATACTTTGGGCATGCTGCAAGGAGGAACCAGTCTTTGGTGAAGGATATCATGCTTGGGAAGGTGGAGGGACAGCGCAGGAGAGGAAGACCCTCAATGAGATGAACTGACTCAGTGACTGGGGTAATAGGGGTAGGTGCACCAGAAACAGTGAGGTTGGCTCATGATAGAGCATGGTTCAGAGCACATAAGGGCACATAACAAACAACACAGGGATCTAAGATGATTAATTTTTTTTTCATTTTATTATTTTTGTGTGCGTGTACTGTCAAATCAGATCTGACTGGTACAGGAGGAGATTGTCCCTCCTTCCCCGGCAGAGCATCTGGTGGATTTTAACCGTTCGCCTCTGGGATTGTAGTTGCAGCTCCTTGCCACTAGGCCACCAGAGCTCCCCTTAAGATGATTAATTGATAAGGAGGCATTTTAAGGGATCGATACAGAGTGTGGCACTTAATATCACAAAAAGAATCACATTTTGCCTAAAATCCCATTACAAACTACTTGTCTAGCCCTCCTTCCCATCAGTCTGACATACTACAGTCCATTACAGAAATCAGGTCATGCTATTCCATCTCCATCCCTACACAATGCAGTTACGTCAGGCCAGTCGCCCTTCCCAACTTCCACTTATCAAAAGGCTTGGGTTGGGTTTTTTTTCCAAATGTAGCCCCTTTATAGCTCTTCTGAACTGCTGGGTCCCCTGTCTTCTGAATCCCTCAAGATTAACTGTACTTCCTCTTGTATGGATATTTATGTGCCTGTTCCATCTTAGGTACATTCCAAACTTTGATGACAATTAGTTTTTCATTAAGTCTTCTTTCCTAATAGCTCACACGGAAGAGGTTCCATCAGAGTTGAAAGTGAACACGAGACTTAAAATGAGGGACTGTATTATGATCAGCAACTAAAATCATTGCTGTCCGGTGGGAACCGACATAGTCGAGCCTCTAGCGGGTTTTCAGAGGCTGCAAATCGTGTGGGAGAAGACTGGCTGTCTTCCTCCCACGGAAGGACTGCAGGATTTGAACCTCTGGGCTGGCAGCATAACTCTTTACCAACAAGGCCATCAAATATGCATAGGAAAAAAGGGCTCACAAGTTGGGGTGGAGGGTGGGGCTTGGTGTCCACGAGTGACCATACCTGCAGGTAAGAATCTGGCGAGCTCTGTCTCAGCACCCTTCTGTTTGCGGGCTTTTCGGCCCGGCCCACGTTTTTCCTTCTTCGTAGGGTCCAACTTACGCCCCATGGTCCTGAGGTAAAGCAAAATCGGAGGGTAAGAGTCTTGACTATTGGAAGAGGACCCACAGAACGCAGACTTGGTGTGTGAGCGAGGGAACGTGCGCGGCATCAACCGGAACCTTGGCTCAGCACCCGCACCAACCGTGCCAGGCCGGACCAATTCCGCCCTGGGACCCCGGGCCTGGGGCCCCCGTGCCACCCCGACGGCCCAGGCCTGGTCGATGATACCGCCTTTCTTTCCTCCACTTCCTCTAGACATACCAAGAGCCTCTACTCACCCAAATGCGTGCTCAGACCCAAGCCGACGCCACACACCACGTGTAACGTACCGTAAAGACTCCGTCACCACACTACACGGAGACGCTGTGCGCAGGCGCAAAAAGAGCGCTCGCGTCGGCCCCGCCTCTTCCGGTCTGGGGCCGGCGGCGGGTCCGGAAAGATCGAGTCGCTCGGGAAGCGCGTTAGGTGAGCGGGGCCCGGATTCATTCAGGAGCTGACGGTGCAGCTCAGACCGATGGAGAACAGAGGAAGAAGTCGTGATGAGAATATTCTCAATTCCCAGACTTTCCCGCCGACGTGGCTTTTTACTTCCTTAAAGTTAGGAAAACTAACTTTATGAGCCACTCCCTTCTCAACTCCCCCCAGGGCATAACAGCCCTTCAGTGGCCCCACCTTCTGTCTGGTATTCCCATTCTTCCCAGTGTTAGCCTTAATATGTTGTGATGCACACAGTCAAACGCCTTTGCAGAGTCAATATAACACAGATAGACATACTTCTGGTATTCTCTGCTTTCTGCCACTATCCATCTGACATGAGTATTGATATTCCTGGTGTCATGGCCTCTTCTAAACCCACCCTGAATTTCTGGAAGCTGTCAGTTTAGTGCTTTAGACGTTTCTGAATAATCTTAAGATTTTTGCTTGCATGTGATATAATTGATGTTGTTTGATTATTTCCACATTCTGTTGGATCACCTTTTTCATAAATGGGAACAAATACGGATCTCTTCTAATTTGTTGGCCAGGTAAAAGTATCAAAAGGGCTCTTCTAGATTTCTTGGCACCACCTGATGAACACATCCAGGGCTGCATGTGTTTGTTGGAATATTAACATATAGTATTGGTATTCAAACAGTTCCAGGGGTCTTATTTTTTGCCAATGCGTTCAGTGCAACTTGAACTTCTTTCTTCATTACCATTGGTTCTTAATCATATTCTATTTCCTGAAATAGTTTCATAGCAACTAAATTTTTGGTACAGAGTCTCTGTATATCTCCTCTATCTTCTGTTGATGCTTCCTGTATCATTCAACATTTTGCCCAAAGTATCCTTCAGCATTTTAACATGAGGCTTGAATGTCTCAACTTGAAAAATACAAAGTGAGCGCTTCCTTTTTTTAATTTTCTGACTCCAGCTCTTTGTGCATTCCATTATAATACTTTACTTTGTCTTCTTGAACTACTTACCCCTTTGGAATCTTCTGGGCAACTCTTGTACTTCTTCATTTTTTCCCTTTGTTTCCCCTACACTTAACTGTGCTCATGCTATACCTATACCAAGAGTTGTCATGTGACAAGAGCAAGATGACAGTGCATGGTTTAAAATCAAGAAAGTGTGCATCAGAAATACATCCTTTCTCCATTCCTGTTCAACCTGTATGCTGAGCAAATCATTTCAGGAGCTAGACTTTATGAAGAATGTGGCATCGGGATTGAAAGGAAGACTCAGTCAGCAAGCTGTGTTACACAGGCGACATGAGTTTGCTGAAAGTGAGGAGGACTTGAAGCTCTTGCTGCAGAAGATCAAGGACTACTATATCCTTTAATAGGGATTACATTTTTTTTTTAAGCAAAGAAGCTTTTATTTTGGCTCTCAGGCTCTCTGGTGAGGTTCTCGGAGAGAGAGGGAGAGACAGAGATATGACAGGACGGGTCACAGAAGTTACTGGACATCTAGTAACTCACAGAATAAATAGGAAAACTGCCTCCCCACCAAACTTATATCCAAGGCATAACATGTCCAGGTCTGAGTCCTGCACACCGAGGGTTCATGCTTCATTGCAGAGGACCCTGCCAGCCCCCAGGGGTGCAAATATGGATCTTCCGCCTGCCTGGCCCACCAAGTTTCCCAAGCCCAAACCCCCAGCAACTGTCCATTTGCCAGGCTCTGCCACCTGGGTGGGGGTTGGGAGAGAGGACTCTGCTCAGCCAAAGGCTATCCCTTGCATCCAAGTCAGTTGATGTCATCGTAGATGCTAGGTGTAGGGGGTGCCGGTGGCTTTGGCTTCTTTTTCTTGTTAGAGCCCAGGCTGGAGGCAGTCCCTACCAGGCTCAGATGGGATTTCTTCTTCTTGGTTTTCCGTAACTCAGAGCTGTTGGTACCTAGACCCCATCCCTGATTCTCACTCGTCTTGGAGGAGCCTGAATCAGAGAGTGAAAGGTCAGAGGAACCGTCCCATTGAAGCCGACTGATCAAGGCCTGGCTGTCAGTCATGTCAAAGCTGTCATTATCCAGTGAGCTCTCAACCTCTGGAAGGACAGCTGAGGGCACCAAGAAATAAATCCACACAGCTCGCCGCTGCTCATCTGTGTGCTGAGGGCAGCGCAGGGACCTTGTGCACATCTTGGTGTGTTCAGAAATCACTCCACATTGCGTGGTGAGCAGGCTTCGAAGCCCCTCTGGCCCCAGGGTCTCAGAGCTGATCCCAGTGGAGTTGTTAAAAGGATCCAAATTGCTAAGTTCCCCATTTTTGTGTTTTAAAGACTTGGATCTTCGAGGGGAATTGGGGTTCTTACCTGATTTTCTCTGAGCCGTAAGATCAATCATTGTCATTGATGTCATCATTGTCTTCTTGGTCATTCTCAGATTTGTTCATATTTTTGCTGTTGGCAGTCCAGCAGTTGGCAATGTGGCTGCTGTTCCGACCCATTCCCAGGCACTTCTCCAGATGGGAACCAAAGCGAGAGGTGGCAATGCTGCAGCTACAACTGGGGCAAACGCACTTCTTGCTCTTCCACTGGTTGAAAACCTGCCCAGAGATGTCCAACCCCGGCTGGGCCTGGATCTCAAAATCCTTCATGCTTTCAGGATCTGTGTCATCCAGGAAGAAGTAGCCACACTTGACAGCCCGGTGTACCTCAAAGCAGAATCCCAAACAAGAATCCTCGACCAGGTCCGCATATATCTCTTGAGCGATGGCCTCTAGTTTGCTGTTATCCAGGCCAGACAAAGACATTTCCTCCATTTTCATTTGTAAACTCTTGTGGAGACGGCACTCTGACTGTTCATAGCACAGCGGGCAGCAACACGGCCCACCCGGGCCCGGCAGCCTCTCAGGGCTGTGTCCTCCAGCCACAGCGGCTGCTCCATGTCTGTCGGTCCATCCTCGCCTCTCCCCGGGGCCCCGGGGCCGGGGGGTCGGGCCGCCCCCTGACCTCGCAGCCTCAATGGCCTATATGGATTACATCTTAACATCAAGAAAACAAAAGTTGTCACTATCAGGCCAATAGGCAACTTTAAGATACAGGGAGAATCAAAACTACTATGAGATATCATCTCACACCAGTAAGAATAGCAAAATTTAACATAACAGCAAACATCAAATGCTGGCAAGGTTGTGGAGAAACTGGAACCCTTGATTCACTATTGGTGGCAGTGTAAAATGGTGCAACCACTATGGAAGGCTGTATGGCATTTTCTCAAAAAGTTGCAAATAGACAACAAAAAATCACAAACAATAGGAAAATAACAAGAAGTAAAGAATGATATTGGGTGATGTCATGACACAACTTGCTGAAATAAAGATAACAACAATTGGTGGTGGTGGGGGCGAAGTTGTAAATAGAAATACCATTTGACCCAGCAATTCCACTACTGGGAATTTACCCTGAAGAAACCATAATCGAATTTTTCTTTTACTTTTCCAAGAGGGTGGTGTACTGGGGGGCAGTTTGGGAGGGAAGAAAAGTGCAACAATGAATTAATGGAAATCCACAGTCTCTGTAAATTGTCATTGAAATTAATAATAATAAAAAAGAAACCATAATCGCCACCCAAGCAGATATGCACACCCATGTTTCTTGCAGCTTTGTTCACAAAACCAAGGAGTTGGAAAGAACCTAAGTGCCCATCAACAAATGAATGGTTAGAGAAGCTGTGGTATATTCACACAATGGAATAATATGCAGCATTGAAAAACAAGGAACTCACCTTAAAAAGTGAAAAAAAAAAAAGAAAAACAAGGAACTCATGAATTATTATACAAAATGGGTGACCGTAGAGGGCATTATGCTAAGTGAAATATCTCAGTCACAAAAGGACAAATATTGCATAGGGACACTGTTGTAAAACAAGACTAACATCGGGGTTGAGGGAAGACAGAAGGAGGGAATGTACACTGCATTGAAACAGATGAGAGAACTGTTTAAAAGGGATATATGATTTGAGTATTATTGTCATGACAGGAGTCCAGAATGAAGGCTGAACAGTGGAATGGACTTGAGAGACTGCATAACAATGAAAGAGTTTTACTTTTCAAGGAGAAGAGTGAATTGGGAGGAGGGGGTGGGCAGGGAGAAAAGTGAAACAATGAATGAATGGAAACGCTAAGTCCCAGTAAACTTTCATTAAAATTAATTCTTTTTATTTTATTATTTTTGTGTGTGAGTGTACCGTCAAATCAGATCTGACTGGTACAGGAGGAGATTGTCCCTCCTTCCCCAGCAGAGCATCTGGTGGATTCAAACCGTGAGCCTCTGGGATTGTAGTTGCAGCTCCTTGCCACTAGGCCAAGATACAGGGAGAAGAGATTGAAGTTGTGAATTTGGTAACAGCAGTTAAGTAATAAAAAGGGGAGTCACTTTCGGAACATCTGCTATCAGGGACCCCTCCAAAGTACCAAAGAACAATGATATAATTTTCAAGACTTAGGTGCACCTGATCCACGCCATAGCCCTCAGTTGCTCACTATATTTGAAAGTGGGACAATGACTAAGGAAGACAGAAAAA